TTTAAATCCCTTCTAATTAATTAATTATAATAATTATGTTGAACAATTATGCCTGAATTTAGTTTTTTCTAATTTTAGTAGTTTCGCAGTGCATTGATAAATCAGTTAGTGAAGACATTTATCGTATTTACCTTTTTTACACATTTAAGGGTTGAATTTTAACAAACGCTGATATTAAATTTCATTATTCTTATTTAATAGTGTTTATGGTAAATTACAAGAATCTATCGATTAAAAAAATAAAATTCCATACAAACTTCCACCCTTATATTTACCCATAGACCCCGCATTTCGAAAAATCCTTTCTTATTACTTGATTAAAACTTAAAAGGAATCTGCTGTCAAAATTTGCTAATTTTAACTTTTGTAGTTTATTGATGAGTCAATCAGTTAGAACTCTCTTTATATTACAATATAGATATAGATAAATAAAATACCGAGCAAGACATGCACTTCATACAGGTTCGGTTGACAGTGTTCATCACATCAGTTAACTGTTCATTCCTAAACATAGGCCAGTTCTTTGGGAGGGTATTGCCAGTAGTTGCCATGCTTCGTAAACGAGTTGGCAACCACAGTTAGACTTTGGTAATGATTTAAGAGGGACGCTGCTGTCCATCCCTTAACCACCTTAGACGCGTCTCTTACGACATTCACAATAAAAAAAGGGGTGGCATATTCAATATCGAAACCACAGAGCATAGCGCGGTAAATTTATTTTATATTTTCTAAAAATTATTTATGTTGCGAAAACCTGTAAGTAGCTATTTGGTACAATATTGTCAATAATTATAACCAATCTTCTACAAAAGAAAACGCTCAGTGAATTTACAGCCATAAAACAGTACCGGTCTTAAAATGGGGGAGTGACCCAAAAGGGAGGCCGAGGAATATATTGAGATATAAAAGAGGCACTATGATTTCCACTTTTGTAGTGAACAACGTGGTTTCCCGATGTAAAAATAAGGTATTTTAAAAGCAGTAAAATGATGATGATCCGATGTTAAAACAGCCTATGCCGATAAATCAAGTCGAAACTGCTTTAAAATAAACCGCAAATTATTAAAATTACCGTAAAATTACGGTAAAAGCCGTAACATGTACGTATTTTAAATGATGATGACCGATGTTTTTTATTTTGTAAAGGGAGAAGCTGTTAAAAAATTGCCTATGTGCCCCAGATAGATACACCAAGTCGAACCTACTTTAAAATAAATCGCAAATTATTAAAATTACCGTAAAATTACGGTAAAAGCCGTAACAGGTACGTATTTTAATTTTGTTAACAATGTAGATACCGATATAATAAAAGTTTAATTTTGTAAAGCCCTTTGACACTGGCACTGAGTTGGTTTGGTCTATTTTTTTAATAAAAGAGGACGGGGATTGTTAGCAATGGAAAGTAGTAACACCTTGCTAAAACTATATCATATTGACTGCAGCCTATGGGCGACAGATAAAAAGTACGACAAATTTTATAACCATAAAATTCCTTAAAAAATATAATTCATGTTTCATTTTGCACTTTTATCATGGAATTACTGATTGATTCATTTCATTACTTGGGAATGCATACCTTACCGACATGTACGTACCTACATAAACGCCTAGATACAAGTGTCTCTCTCCTTCCTTCATAGACAGATGGCAAAACATAGTGTATACTTTATAAAAAATATGAAATCATCCTTCATTAATACTTCATTATAAAATGATTTTTATTTATTTTTATGATTCATAACCGATCGCATTCTTTGAAAAGACCCTTATAATAAGCAGAAGCAAACAATAATGCAGATTTATACAGTTACTAAATTGTTACTACCTGTTTTTTAAAATCCTCACAAAAACCTCCAATAATAAAGATTTATTAAACACTTTTAATGGTTTTACAAATGATAAATATAACCAGAGGTGAGGGTCTCACAAATCTCGACTAATATTTATAATATTAATAAATTCTTATGTATAGGCATATTTTTGAAACGCGAATCCACCCCAGAATGCGAGCAAAGCTTTACAAAGACATACCTAAGAACAAATGCCTAAATTGTAATACGAATGTTCCGTTAAATAAGTATCTATATTAAGTGTATAAACGTAATATTTGAATTTCAGAATGAAACATAGATATTTGAAGAAGAATATAGACTAATATTTATTGATCAATCAACATATCGTGTTTCGGATAAAATCTTCAGTCTAAACGTTTTTCCAGTTATGTTTGCATGGCTGTTTCTTTTTGTCATATAAATTGAATGGAAAGTAGAAACATGGCTTATAGATATTTACTATATAATGTGGTACGGAAAAAAGCAAAATGTCACCGTAACCAGTAAATTCACTACCACGTGCCACGGCACAACTGATTCGCATTACATACGAGTATGATACCTATTTCGATACATTTCAATTTATATAAAAACCACTTCTCAAATATGAAACTTAGTTTCAGAAGTGAACTTCAAGAATTCCGGTTGTGATTTAATTTTGTCCCTTTTTTAACAATGAAAAAATTCAAGAGGTTTCATAGGTATCAGTATTCTGCACAAAGTACAATATAAGGAATATATGGTATTGTTCATGTCTAAGAGGGAAAAAATTGTTAATATTGTGTTCTAACAATCCCATTATCAGCAATATATCCTATAAAGTAATACTCCATACGGTTCCTCCTGGAACCTTTCATGGTTAATTCTTGTTCAATTCGTCGCTTTGGGAATTGAAATCTCATCTTCAAATATACTGAATTTACATTTTCAACATTTTTATCAAAAAAGACTGTCCATGTATAAAGGTGACATTTTCCGATTTTCATCAGATGTACAGCCAGCTTATTTGCCATTCCGTGTTTCTTAAAAAAATCTTGGCGTTTAACTTTTTAGTAGTCTTATTTTTCTAATCATTTATGTTTAAATTTTTCACTAATAGTTGCAACCTAATGGCTTTGTTGCAGTCGCATTTATTATTGGATCATGCTGTGTGCACATGTTGGGGCAAGTTTACCTGATCAATACATTATGTACTTGCATATTATAATTTAAGTTTGTATTTGTAAACTTCTTTTATGTGCGCCTAATAAATAAAATAAAATCAAATTTTTCTTGAGGCTTTAGTACTGAGTGACTAAGCCAGCCTCATAGGGATTGTCTGAAAGTCAGTCTGTAAGCCCGTCAGTGACACTTTTACCCACAGATGTAGCTGCTTTGCATTGCGACTGCCAGGTTAAGTCAGTATTAAATTGATATTACCATTATATAAAAGGCATATCGCCCAGAATCCGCTGTTTCAGGTTACAATTCTTTTCACATTCCACCAACAAATGTAGGTCTTCCACTTTATTTATTCATCTCGTGCAACAAATTGTTAATGTATGGCCGCCATTGATTAGTGTTTTTTTTTTTTTTTATTTTTAATATACTTAAAAAAGATTCTCAATTCAGTTGCATTTTATTATGTTTGTTACCTTAGAACTCCATCAGTTCTAAACCGGTTTCGAGTATTATTCTTTTTATCTAAAAGGATTTACTTACAGATTGTTCCCATTCAAATTTTATCAAGATCGGTTCAGTAGTTTTAAAATCAAAATAACTGGTTAGTCACAATTAACGTCAGTTTTTTTCGTGATCCATAAACTAATTATATTACCTTTCCAATGAAGTTTCATCTCGTATGACGAGACGTATGTCGTATAATAAGACTAGGTTGTTCGTATTATCTATAAGTATATAATCCTTTCGAAGATCTGTTGGAAAGAAGCTCCCTCCAGAGACAAGTAAACTTTTTATTATTACAGTTATTTGTTGGTCACAGTCTTTAACCCTTCTTTGCATGCTTTTTTTTATTGGTGAAATCAACGTGTTCATGTTCAAAATTAAAGAAAAATGGTTAAAAAATTAATTTGACAGCAATTTTTTTTTCTGCAATGGACATTAAAAAGGTATTCAGACTGGATCAACTTAAAAGTTAACTTGTTCTCTTAAATAATTTTTGGACATTCAATATTATGATGGAAATTTCCACCATTATGCAAAGAGTTAATTATAATGAAATCCACTGTATTTCATTTATTACGACCTTGGTTGTAGCGACCATTTGCCTATAGCGACGTTAAATCTAAGTCCCTTGAATTTAAAGCATACTTGAGTACAAATTTCATGTGGTTATAGTGACTTTGGATGTAACGCCGTGTTCTGGTGTAAAGACTGTTTTTAATGAATCATTATAACAAATTCCTAGAAATCCCATGCAGATATTGCGACCGAAGTTGACCACTAAAGAGATACCAAGATTTCTTTCTTTCACAAAAATTTCTAATCTTTTGTTTACATCCACACAGATGGTCAGCAAGTATGGAGACCTTTACCTATTGTTTATAGATATCAGCTAAGTAGGTAGGGAAGTATGTACATTTCACAATAGAATTTATGGTTCAGTTACAATATGATATTCTGAGTAGCAACTGAGTCTAGTAAATTTTTGGATATGTATGACAGCCTCAAAGTACATTCACTGTTAAAGAAAAGGCAGACATCATTTCAAAATTGAAAAACGGTGAAAACAATGCTGATTTGTGTGAAGAAAAAACTATACATGTTTATGTGTCTGTATCTTTACTTTTGCCTGTAACAAATTCCAGATATAACGACGAAAATAGAGTGGTCCCTTTATCATCGTTATAACAGGAATCCATGGTATTATTTAAGTATAAATATCATTTTTGTTATTTTTTTACTTGATCTACCTAGTACTTAATCACATAAATCAATGACTTTACGTAGCTAACCTTATGTAAGTATTATAGTGTTGAAAACCCTAACTTTTACAAAATTTCAGAAAATACTGTAAAGTGATTTTGATTATATATATATATATATATATATATATATATATATATTATTTTAATTTCTTTTTTTATTTATAAAGACACTATCTCTTACTAACACAGGCTCTTTACAGTTATTAGCATAAAAAAGGGAGAAAATAATAAGGTAGAAAAATATACTTAATGTATAAGTTTATTCTTGGCTAGCATCAACATTTTCTGTCTGCAAGCCCTTAATTGAAGCAACGGGTACATAAGTCACAAGGGTGAACAGTTTATGGGCAGAATCTTCATCATCATTACGCCTTCTGGATAGTCGTACTCGAACTCTGAATGGGACATTCCTGAAATATACAAATAAAAACTATATTTATAACTTTATAATTATATAATATTAACAAAATCAATACATATCCTCTATTTTATATAGGTACCGCTGGTTATAAATATATTTTGTGTTTTTTTTTTTATATATTTTTAATTGTGCTTTAATAGCTGGATAGATTTTAATACAATTTTATACACAGAAATTTAATTCTGTATATATAATAAATGAAAATCTTATAAGTTTTTGGATACTAGCTTTTACCAACAACTTCAACAACTCAGTCATGTATGTACACATGAAGAAATGTTAGCAGGATAATAACACCAAGTACAACCGAGAAATGTTAGCAGGATAAATAGTAGACTAAGATTTGACAGCATCAAATTTATAAAAAAGTAAAAAAACAATAGGTAAAAGACAAACTCACTGACATTTATATTTATAATTAATATTTAATAATGTTTAACAAGATGAAAGATTTTTAATGTGGACTGGAAAATATAGGATACTTTTTATAATAATAATTGTGTAACATGCTCATAAGCACAAAGCGATAGAAAACAGTTAATAAAACAAATATTTCAGGGAATACTGTGTCACATATAGTAAAATAAGAACTTTAAGTTCTTCATAGAGGTTATGTTATTACAAACAACCAAAACATTAAGTCTTGTTTATAAATCTATAAATGAAGAGACAAATAATACGTAATTAAAGAATTTAGAAAACTATTACCTGACCCCCTTAGACCAGAGGTATTTGTTTAAACGAGTATCAACGCGAACATCGGGAGTGCCCATTTGTTTTTCTGCAAACTTCCTAATTTCCTTGATGGCTCGTGGAGCACGTTTTTTAAAACCAACTCCATGAAGACGTTTGTGCAAATTAACTGTATATTCACGAGTAACAACTTCATTGATTGCAGATTTGCCTTTCCTCTCTCCTTTAGGTTTAGCCATTGTGTTCTGAAATAGTATAAAAAAGAAGTATAAATATTTATAATAATGAAATCTTTGGACACTGTAGACAATAATATTGTTGAAACGATATAATTTAGATTTTTTGTAATAGGGATATTTTCGGATTTATTCAAGTAAACACACACCTTAGTCTTCTTTTACCGAAAACGACATGAAAAAGAAACGTCATACCATATGTCAAAATTGTCATAAAAATTCAAAAATGACATAGACTAAGAACAGTTGAATTATATTTGAGATCCTTATATAAAAATTGTATATTACAGTATATTAAACCAGAGTTGTCAGAACCAGTTGTAATCTCGAATCAATACAAACCCCAAAATAAACTGAAAAGTTGCAGAAACAAATTCTTTAATTATTTGAAGAAAAATATAAATATTATCAACTCTCTAAAATTATCTTTACAATGAAACAATTAATTCGATATCACACAATTCTTTATTTTTGGAACCAATATGAACAAAATTTCTATTAACTTTAAATAAGACTATTAGAAATTCGTTCTACTTACTGTAACAGAATTGCAAGTACTTTTTTATTAATGGGTGATAATGGAGTGGTAACCCACCCGCGCTATCGGTCTACACCGGCGAGGCACCAGTGAAGGATGATAGGTGAGGATGAAACAGGTTTTTTTTTTTGATGGGTGAAAATGGTATGGTAACCCCGCCTGCGCTAACGGGATACGCTGGCGGAGCACCAGTGAAGGGTGATAGATAAGAATGAAAACAGGCCAGTTAGCCCATCATGCTGAATTCATCGGGAATTAACCATGATAATTTCCAGGGAGAACCGCGAGGAGGTCAACCTGGTTGGGTATATTGCAAGCAATAGGATTCTCAGTCTCCATTACTAACAATCCCTTTCCCCCCAGATGGAACAAGTTATTTACTCCATCGTAATGAATTCAACAAGAATTGTTTACGATGGTTTGCAGGAGGAACCACGTCGAGTTCGAACTAATAGGGCATGTTGCTAGCAATGAAGTTATCAAACTTCATTGCCAATAATCCCTTTCACCCAACTGCAGGTACTAGGTATAGGTATACTTAGTCCATAACCGCGATTTCTCTAACCATAGACTGTCATTCTAAGAAAATTCTAACTCTGATTGTTAGTGTCACTTGTAATGTTATTATTATGTACCACTCTTTATATTACAAAGATTGTCCAATATTAATTATTATCTTAGATTATTATTATCAAATGTATATTTGTGTATAAGAAATACATAAGTTGTTAACCATATTCCGAAATCTTTGGATTATACATATTCTCTATAATCTGTGATGATTACTTGCTCTATGATGAAGTGACTATTATTTTTAATCTGTGGTAATACAAAAGAAAACAAAACGGCGATGTTTTGTTATATCTTCTTAAATAAGTTTCTATAAAGTCCTTTTTTTATCTAAATTTTATGTACCTGAAAGGATATAAGAATGGCAGAAATTTACAAGTTATTATTAACATCAAATGTTATTGCTCAATTTTCTTTAAATTCTACCTAACCTAAACATATTTTGTTTACAGATTGATACACCCTCTCAAGTATTTTAATGATTATATATCCCGAAATATTCGCCCGGACGGAAGAAAATTCACTGAACAGCGTAATATTAAATTAAACGTTAATTCATTAAAAACTGCGGATGCTTCTGCGGTTGTTAAATGTGGAAACACAACTATTGTTTGCGGAATAAAATTAGTAAGTAATTAACACTTGACTATTGTCCTACATTTTTTATTAACTTTCTTTAATTTAAAAATTAAAACTGACTAATCATAATTTCAGGAATTGGCAACACCAAAAGCTGAAGAGCCCAACCAAGGTTTTTTAGTTACAAATGTCGAATTACCAGCACTTTGCTCATCAAAATATAAACCAGGTCCTCCATCAGATCATGCACAAGTTACAAATTGTCTGGTGTCTGATATAATTGTTAACTCGAAATCTGTTGACTTGAAGGACCTTTGTATAGTGCCAGATAAACTGGCATGGGTATTATACTGTGACATGGTCTGCTTGGACAATGATGGTAGTTTAGTAGATGCTTGTATTATAGCATTGATGGCAAGCTTAAAAACATGTATGTACCTATAAATTATATAACCTGATATTTATATATACACAATTGATACTTATAATAATTTATATAGGCTTTACTCGTAAAGTTTTGGGTTGCCTTAGTAATTTTGGACTTGAGAAATTTCAGCATCAGTATCTATAAGGTATACAAACAAATAAATACAATTTGACAATATTTGAGGATATGTTATATATTTTATTTAAGTTATTAATTATTGTACTTATATATGTGTAATTATTAACCAGAAGAGACTATACAAAAGTTGTTTGCTTGGGTACCTCTGTCCCACTCATGATTCAATCTTGAAGCAGTTGTGATAGTATGGCTGTGTTTTGGTTTGAAGGGTGGGTTAAGGCAGTGAATTTACAGAATACAAGGTATTCCTTAGTTCTCAGGAATGACAATGCATGGGGAGTATCATTGGTGAAACAGTATACTCTTTTATGTCTATGGTACTGCTCATGTCTATCCATTACCACTTTTTACCAGGTAGATCGTCAGCTTGTTTACCATTCTAAGTTGCATAAAAAAATTAAAATAAGACTTGTACTGTACAAAATGTATATGGTATAATATAATTCCAATGGTTTTGAGATTTTTTTTTAATTAATCTTTGCTTTTTACACAAACACATTATTTAATTACAGTGTCTCTTCCATCAGTAACATATGATTGTGAAACTGAAGAAATTACTGTCGATGAAAACAATAAAACGCCACTAAAGGTACATGGAATGCCTGTAGCTACAAGTTTTGCAGTTTACAAGGCTTTAGAAAGGTTTGTGTTTTTCTTAAAGTGCTATTACCTACTGTATAGACTATCATAAAGATGTTTCAGAAATTAATGGAACCTAAATTCAGTTAATATACTTAATATATAAAAGTATATGAATCCCAACCATTATACCAAATTAAACACATCTTTTTGGCTATAAAATAAATACATTTTGGCTAAATAATTGTCAAATACATAAGTTGTTGCAGTTTTGTTGTTATCATTTAGAAGTTCTTATTTGTTTCTAAAACAATTTATAATAATTATTTTTTAACTTTACAGTGACATGTTATTAATGGACCCATCAACATATGAAGAAGACATGTGTGGTGGTATTGGAGCCAATTTTGTTGTGTGTTGCAATAATGGATTACTTTGTGGAACACAGAAATTTGGAGGTAGTAATCCTTCAACAGAATGCCAAGAAGAAGCGTTGAAAATGGCTAAACATAGAGTAAAACTTGTTGAACAAGTTATTGAGAAATGTATTAAAAATAATGAGATAGCTATGAGCAGGTAGTTAATATAATCATAAATTAAGTAACCAAATATTCATAAGTATTTTTTATAAGCAATAAAATAATGGCGATATATTCAAAACTTATTGTTTATTATTATAACTAAGATGTTCAGTAGTTGTTTTATTTGCTAAAGTGATTTATTAATAATAATGGAGTCTAGAACCCTATGCCTGTATAGACAATTAAACCAATTGACCTCCACACTGACTCGCCTGGAAGCTATAGTTGGTAAATCCTGTTAAATTTATCATAATTGGCCAACTGACCTTACATCATCCATCTTACTCTTAACTGGTATACTACCAGAATATACCAATAATGCAGGCAAGGTTCACATTCAATTTTTACTCATTGATAAAACCCTAGCTAGTTATCTAGAGTTTTTTCAGGTCCTTTAAGGTAAATTAAAAATCTGTGTTAGGTTAGATGAATTAAAAATGCATATTCTTATTGTCCTTTATGATCTAGGTAGTATCTATATAAGTACTTATCTAGATCTAAACTTTATTTATGAAAGTTAAACTCACAAGACAGGTGCAAGTGCAACACAAAGGGAAAAGGATTGTTACTTATATTTTTAATGGATGATAATGGAACTGCCGTTGAATAATAGGAAATGTCTGCCTGCATAAACAGTTTATGCTGGTGGGGCACCAGAGAGGGGTGATAGATGAGAATAAAAAGGCAGTTCAGATAGCTCATTGTGATGAATACACCTAGAGTTCTGCACGATGGTTTCCAGAGAGCCCACTAGGCGGTCCACCTAACATGGTATATTGCTAGCAATGGGACTAGTAGTTCTCATGATTAACATTAGTGGTTTAGACCGAATTACTATTTAGTAAAATCATTTGAATACGAAAATATATTGCTAATTTAGTGTCATATAAAAGTACAGGTGTCTGGTATGAATGAAAATGCGGATTTTATTTTTTAAAGAATATGTGATCCAGATTTTCGATCGAGTTGTACACACTGTTCAAAACGGAGCCTAGTGTTTTTTGCCACGCGCTGCAATAAACTTGGTTCAATTAAGCTGATTTCTCGACGGATATTTTTCTTTAAAGTCATTAGAGATTGGGGATTGTCATTATAAACCCTCTCTTTGAGGTAGCCCCATAAAAAAATTCATGATCACAAAAAATGCAAAAAAAAGCGACGCTTAATCAAACACTGCAACATCGTGACTGACAAATCCGCACAATTGATAATTCCAACGGCGATACCCTCTCTCCGCACCGTTTATTACTTTTTGAAATAAGCGTTTTTAAAAATATAAATTTGCCACCAAACACCCCGTACTTTTATATAACACTAAATAACTAATTATTCGAAGAACAAAATCATTCTTATTACAATCAGTAAATTATAAATGTGTTTACGGCCCTGGATACTAGTCCTTTAGAGGCTATATTTCATAAATACATATTGATAGCTAATGATTTGACCGAATTTTTCATATAATAATAATAATATTTATTGAATACAAAAATACATGTTACAATTTTGTATTCGTTCCCAAGACTTCACAGTTCACACTAGGATTCCCTATGTCGTGAAGTTTGTTGCACAATGTTTCATCTATTTTTATTTTGGTAATTCTACTGGAATTAATCACGATGGTTTCCAAGGGGAACTACGTTGAGGTCGACCTGATAGGGTATATTGCTAGCGATAGGTCAGTTAGACCCCATTACTAAAAATCCCTTTCCCTACAGATAAATAGGTTTGGTTTGGAGAAGAATATTTCACGTTTGGATAAAAATATAAATTCGCATCTAGCAACCCTACCGCCGAAACCTTTGTTAGACTTGTTTACTAACAAAATCCAGTTCTATCCATAAAATTATAAATATATTTATTCGACTAGACATAATATAACACATTTATATTAATAGAATAAAAGAATTAACAAATTATATTAAAGTTTTAATCAACACATTTGACAATGGTGTCTATTTTGAGACGCCATTTCTCTAAACATATCTCTAATATTAAAATTTCAGCATCAAATCATAACGAAATATTTATTTTGAGACCAATGTCTACTAAATTTTTAATACATTTAAGTTAAAATTATTATAAATTTAGTCTATTATGGTCAAAAAATAGTCATTTCGCGAAACTATCACATTAAAATATTAGAACAAGTAATAGGTTCAGAAAAAGTGTCAGAATCGGCATCCCATTCCCAACGACCAGAAATAGTACAATATAAATTATATTATCTTGTTGCCTTATTATTTTTAGTAAGGCAACATTTGTTTAAAATGTCACCACGTCTCAAAATATCTAGTTATGTTATTGAGGTAATTATATTTATTTGTTTAATATTTGAACATATAAAATTTATAAAAACAATTAATATTTATTATAAATCCTTCAATCTATTACTAGTGTAAATAATTATAACATTGATCGTAGAATTTTATGCTATAACCTTAGACGTCAACATAAAAAAGATGCACTGGTTTATTGAAAATTATTTTACTACTTTCATTTGAATTTTAAATAATTAAGATAATTAAAAATAACGCAGTATTTCATAATTACAGCGATTGTCTAATTTAGACACAAATGAGAGCACAGGATGTCTGTATGGGCTTATGTACGATGGCACTTTACTCGTGATCGGTTTGAGTATAGAATTATTTGAAAATGATAAAAATACATTCAAACAATTGCTTCTGAATCTGCCTGCTGAGATTGAATTATGTGGCGTGGTAAAATTTGGCGAGAGCCTGTCTATGGAATCATCATTAAAAGATATTATACAGGTGAGTACCAACTCAACAGATATAAATAATAGGTACAAACACAATCTTTGTATATATAATAAATAAATAAACCATGAAATGTAAATTGCAAATAAACCAATATTTACAAATTCTGTTTCTTCAAGACAAAATGAAGGTGCTATTTTTTTTTTACAAATATGTCTTTCTTTTATAGACTGATGTAATTCACATTTCCAAGTCACTGATATTGTAATTACTGAATAATAAATCATTAAAATATCCCATTCATAAAATGTATACAGCTAACAAATCTGCCAGGAACAGGATTGAACTGTACAGATTGTATGAGTAAAATATTAGATAACAATATATCTAATATTATTGTTTACTTAATAATATTTTACTAGACAGAGATTAAATCATAACTGCTATTATAATGTGAATTTAATATAATAAAAAAAGTTTTAATGAAGTAAAAATAAACAAAACAATATTTCCAGGAGGTGGACATTACAGATAATCCATTAGTAATTTTAATAAATAAGGACAAAAATATGAAAGCACACTTCTTGGTGCATGATAAATTTGAAGAAACAAAATATGAGGTTGTAAATGCTGAAGAACTGTGGAAACAATTCCTTCATGTGCGATTAAACACAGTCTTGCCATTAAGCTGTGAGGCAACTTTTTCTGGTGTCAAAAATATAATGCAAAACAAAAGAAAAAAGGTAACAATATCTAAATTTATTTTTATATTTTTTTAACATTATTAAATTGGTTTACATCATTATACTTAATTTAAATAAATATTAATATTCAAAATACTATCATTACTTCCTTATTTAGGCCTACTAAAACCTTTGTCAAAGTACTTCTCTGATAATAATATTAACACTGAGTAAATATAAAATTTGTCAATAGATGAAAACCTGCAATGTTATATTAACTTAGGTCTCTTTGAAAGTGCTCTTTGTGTTATATTTTATTTATTATCATTTTGTAACCCAATGTTTCATAGAAATAAAAAAGTTTTATTGATGTTTATCTTCAGTGTCTAGAGCTATTGTTCTAATATTTTTAACATAGTTTGTCTAAAACAAAAAGTACCAGTTCTATCTGGAATAACATTTAGAATAATTTCAGATTGCTTCTGGTCAAGTATCATTTCATATTGATGGAACAGCTGTTTACTTATTTGGTGTGGCATCAGATGTTGGTTTGACTGGTACAAACACCGAAGCAACAATTGGTGAATTAATTGACTCTAAGAATCCTGAACAATTATCTAAAAAGAAAAAACATAATACTAACATTGTTGTAAGTATAATTATTATTTTATAACATATTACAGTGAAACCTGGTTAAGTGAGACATTGAGGGCCTTGTAAATTTGTCTCACTTATAGACATATTCCACTTTCCCAGTGTCTCAGATATCCAGATATAAATAAATATCTGTTTCATTTACAGAGGGTTTCATTACAGGGTAAACACTGTTTAAATTCAGGATATTCTGATAAACATATTTTAGTTTTCCCTGTCATTCAGAACAATGTGATTGAATTTTATTTTTATTCTGAATTATTCTACATAGAGTAGATTTTGGCACATTAAATTTGATACAGACTTCATCGCACATCTTCTCACTTTCATAAATGGATATTAACTTCCATTTTTCACATACTAATAATGATTTGAGACTTTGTTTTGGCATTTTTCTAATAAACATCTCTATGATAGTCAAGCAAACCTAAAACTGAAGGTCTTTGAGGTTCAAAATTAGTTAAGTGCGAAATTTGCAGGTAGAATAAGTAACAAATTTAAATGCATAATAACCCAACATAGAAAAATGATAAATTAATGTTGTCTCAATTACAGAGGTTAGTGCATATAAAATACACTTGCTGTCTCGGTAATAGAGGTAACTATGACTATAAAATTAAATAGATATAGAGGTTTGCTTCTTTCCACTAACAGAGGTAATTCAGTGCACAGTGTTGGGACCTCAGCATGAGTTTTAGTGATGGAGGTTTCTCGTTTATTCAAGTGAACTAATCTCACTGAACCAAGTTTCACTATATTATACTGTATTACATTATTATTAGGGAGCCTGTCTTTACATTAATATTCTTATAGTGAACACAAAATATATCACAAATTTTATATAATTATAATTACAAATAATTTGTATGTTGACAGATCTTTAATATAATTTTTCAGGAAATAGTAAATGTGAACTTAGTAATGAAATCAACAAAAGACATATTATCAGACAAACTTGTAAAAACTGCTGTTAAAATGATGACAACACAGCGTAAACGTAAGTATTTTCTTCAAGGGTAAAATTATTGTATTATTTAAAGTGAATTATTATGCACAATAATCATGCACAAATTGATACCACTTTTAATTTTTAGCTGCATTTTGTATCAGTATGCCATTGCGAGTAGACACCTTGGCTATAATACACCGCAGTACAAAATTACTGGACTTGTACACAGTATTAGTAGAATCAGCCTGTCGCTCACTCCGACTTTTGGAAAGTGTACTTCTAGAGCAACTAGGTTTGTAATTTTTTTTAATATAAGAGTCTTATTATATTGTTAAAATAATTCTGCTTTTACAAAGTTATAACAATAATTTATATGAAATCCTATGTTTTTGAAAACAATGATACAAATACATTTTATCAAGTGTTTTAACTCGGCATTAGCAGAATATTTAACATTTATTCTGACTTTTAAAGTCGAGACTAATGTCGTATGTATTCATTTTCTATATTTATTCTAATAGGCCAAGAGGGTATTGGCGATGGTGCTGGACTTCGTCTACCAGAGACCTACCATTATTTACCACAGGAACTTGGACACTTTATTACAAGAATAGTTCCTAGGGGGATTCCAGATGAAAGTATGGGTGAGTAATATTTACACTGAAACTGGAAATACAGTATAAACTTCATATAATGTCACTCAATTTAACGTCAGACTCACTATAACGTTGAAATTACACAACTTTGGTTGATTTGCCTTGTTTAATAACAATTTGGGTTGCCAACTCTCGAAAGGACCAACCTGGAAGAATTTTATGTTTAAGAATTTTATCGAGAATTTTTAATTTTAAATTTCTATTTATTTTGTTTTTGAGCAACATCTAATATTTATCAGTTTTTCATCACAAAAGTCATAAAAGTTTTTACATGAAAAATCGAAGTTTGTTAGTACTTATAACACTGCTTTTACTAAAGAAATACTCATTCGGTTTCTTTCCTTGCTCCATCATACTATGTGCTCGCATAAAGCATTAGAGACCACAAAGCAAGGGAGTAGCGACGGATGTATTTAATTTTTAGAAAAACCAGAGAAGATATTGCACTCCAGGAAGTCGGGAGATTAACCATTATTACAGGAGTCTCCCAGGCAATCCGGAAGGGTTGGCAACCCTACTTGTTGTACATACATTTTATGTAGCATCACACCCACTCTAAATAACGTCCACAATACGTCATTATAAAGCAAATAATTTTAGCAATTCATAAAGCACACACAAAGTTTCATACTAATACAGCCTGGCTACAACAGCTTCACTTATAGATAAAGAAATTGTAGATTTAATGATAAAAACTTATGAAGAACAAGGCCATGAAGATGAGACTAATGATCCACAGCTTCTACCACCAAGCATTAAACAAGCAATCGAAGCAACGAAAAAATACTATATAATTGGTTATTAAAAAAATATTTTTAATAACCAAGTTGATCCCAAAGTATGCCAAGATATTAATAAAATACATAAGAAAATACAATTAAAATACTGGCATAATAAAAAAAACATTAGACGAAGATATCAGATTTTACGAAATAAACTTCGTTATTTGTATTAATAGCAATGTTTCTTTGTAAATTTTATCTTTATTAAATAATACCTACTATAATAATAAAATAATACTGATGTTTCTTTCTCTTCATATAACGCCATTTATTTATAATGCCAGAAAATACGTAGTCCCTTCAGCATTTCTACATGGAATTTACATTAATATCAAAGGAAAATGTGATAATAAATTTCAAGACTAAATAATGCAATAAAATTATGTAAATTTATTAAATTAAAATCCTTTGTTGCAGAAAAAGAAAGGCGTTTACTTCACGAACAATTAGGGCTACCGCTCACTAAACCTATATTTCGTAGAGGTAACGCATATTCAGGCAATAGTGGAGGTCGGTTATTGAATCCTCACGAAGCAATAGCACCTACGCCGCCAAAACCTGACGTGACGGTAGCATTACTCCGAGGGCGGTATGCTTACTATCACTATATGCAAGACAATTTTAATGATGATGGTTGGGGTTGTGCCTATCGTTCAATGCAAACAATATTTTCATGGTTCAGGTATTATTTTATGCTAATGATATTAAAATTACGAATGTTTTTGATTTTATTTCTCATCTTATTGAAAATTTTCTTTTCAGGTATCAAGGGTATACAACTGTGGAAGTACCAACTCACAGAGAAATCCAACAGTGCCTTGTTAAAATTGGCGATAAGCCATCATCGTTTTTAGGTTCAAAACAATGGATAGGTTCCACAGAAGTCATGTTTTGTCTAGAAACACTTCTCGGTGTGCAATCAAGAATCGTGTTTGCAAATACCGGCGCAGAACTGCAGTTTTATGCTCCTGAATTAGTTCACCATTTCCAAACGCACGGCACCCCTATTATGATAGGTGAGTTATTTTAATATATAGAATAGTCTCACCTAGTTGGGTACAAGTTGAAATCTGGAAATTAATTTATTTTATATACAATAAACACACAATTAATCAGAATTCTTATCACTGAATTACTCGAATAAAAAAAATCACGATTTTAGACGCAAATAAAATGTGTACGGGTATAAGGCTTTTTGAAAAATTTTATTATATTAAATTGAACTTGCTGCTTATTTTTCTAGATGACAAATTTTAATCAATACGTGTCATGTATTGCATTAGTATGAAGAGGTTAAAAAAGAATTTTCTAAACTACTAATCTGTAGCCCCATACCTCCTATCCCTCCTCTACAAAAAATATCGAAATTTCAAAAATAATAAGGGTTACTCACAAAAGAATGAGACAACGCGTTTTATTCTTATACATTCAAAAAAGAAAATGTATGTATTTATAAAATCTTTTGCATTAAATTAAGGGGGCTGCTTTCGACAAATTAAACCAATTTTTGGAAAGATATGTCATGTACGTAGATAAATCAGCTTATATTCTTAAAGGTTCGTCCAAAGAATGTTCAGGAGTAAGATAAATAGAAAGTATTTTTCATACACACTAAGATCAATAATTAATTATATTTCTTATCATATATAACAATAATCCAATAAAGATATGAACTTATAGGTGAAGGAAGAACTCGTACGTGTTTCATTAATACCATTTTCTCTTTATAGGTGGTGGAGTGTTGGCGCATACAATTTTAGGAGTCGAATATAACTCTGTTTCAAATGAGACACGGTATCTAATCCTGGACCCACACTACACAGGTGCCGAAGATCTTACTGTAGTTATTAACAAAGGCTGGTGTGGTTGGAAAAACTCTGATTTTTGGAATAAAGCTGCTCATTATAACTTATGCCTACCACAAACTAAACCAACTATATGAATCTTTATTCTGTGAACTTTGCAACTATATCTGATATTAATTTTAAATAATTTTATGTATATTGTTATTATTTACGTTTAATAATATACTTAGCACTGCTCTCAAAATGTTTTTCCCCATAAGTTGATTCGCCAACATTCGTATCGAGCTGTGATAACTGACTTTATAAAGCCTGTCAATTCCACTAACTGCATTTGCGAATTTTGCACCTTATTAATTTATATATATTTTTTACACTGTAACTGTAAGAGTGAGTAAAGGAACTTTTTATTATTTAAATTGTAATTCGAATTTAATTAACTTGCTTAGTTGTCGATATGCAATTTAACAAAAATAATCTGTATCAAATAGATACTTGCCAAGTCTAAATCTTGAAGCTAAATGGGAGAATGACCTCGTAGTTAGCTGTATTTGAAAGACGGTTGATTAGTATATAATATCGGTAACGGTTTAAAGATTATTTTATAATTCTGAAAAAAAAAATAACAATAAAAATGCTTGTCTCTTTTAAAGAATAAAAGCGATATATATAGTTGAAATTGTTATTTTTTTAAATAATTAACTGATTGTCCCACCATTGAATAATTTGTCTAGTTCAACGTAAATTGTAGGTGTTGAGAATAGAAATAGATAAAAACGGTACCTGGATTGGGAAGACGTCAAAACAGATTTTTTTTATTGTTAGGGAGGCAAACGAGCAAACGATAAATAATGGTATGGGTTTAAACTTCAGTTGCTTGGTATTTTATTTAATCACATAAAAATATTAATAGGTTTTCTATAACAATTATCTACTACTAATAAATGCAAAATGTAATCATAATAATAAAGGAAACGTGATAGCTTTAAACTATAAAGATAAACAGCACTATAATCATTAGAGAAAACTCTGTGACACTTGTGATACCCCTTATGCATTGACATTAATTGCTGAGGAATAATGGCTATATCCTGTTCAAGTGGTTATTTAAGTAGATATAGGTGCATTATTCAGATTTTAAATATATATATTTTTACCACGTTACGTTATATTCTTTAAAAGAGACAATTATCTAGAAAATAGGTATATTAAAAAATAATAAGTTTTGTTGTATTATTTTCCCTAAATAAACGATCCGACAAAATTTCCACTAATGTTTTTAATGTATATTTCTTTTTCTTTCCTATACTATTGCATGTCTATATTTAAACTATTATCTGATCTATTATTATCTATGAATACAATGAAACATCAAATAAACTTGCACTGATTCGAATTGTGTTTGTAATACTTAACATATTTTATTGTTATGACAAAATATATTTGAAAGATGTAAGCTAAAAAGAATGTGTTATATTTTGTACCAATTAAATTATAATTACGATTATATACTTTAATTTAACCTTAAAAACCTTTAAATGCTGTCGCGGGTCAAACATACGTATACGTATGTACAGTGAGTGTAAAAAGTATTCGTACACCTAGGGTTATAATAAAAAAAATACGAATTTGATAGACTTTCCTCTATTTATTTAATTTAAATCAATACTGTTAAATAGTTTAACATTCCCGCACTTTGTTTATGATAATTTTTGTTTTAAAAAAAAAAAAATTATACAACATAAAAATATTTTTATGTTAACTAAGCAAATAATGACAAACAAAAAGTATTCGTACATTCATGCTTTTTTAAATGAAATTCTGTATAAATCATTTATTCAATCGAATTTTTCATATGCCTACAATGCCAAGGTAATTTTTAATACGTAGGTATAGATATTAGACGTTTTAGTTGCACTCGTGACAAGTATAGACGTGTTTAGTTACAAAAATGGGTCGTAAAGCAAAAGAAACGAGTGAAGAGGAGAGAAAAATAATTATTAATTTGCATAATCAATGCAAATCATTATGTGAAATTGCAAAATTTGTCAATAGACCACGTTCAACCGTACAGACTGTAATTGATTGGTTTTCTATTACTAAAACACTAAAAAACAAACCCAGAGGTGGGGCGTCCATCAAAAATCACGCCTCGATTGGATCGGAAAATTTTAAATTGTGTAAAAAAAAAATCCAAAAATTAGTGCCCCTTAGAGATGGGCAATCCACCTGGGTGGGTTTAAAGTCTGGTGGGTAAAAACCGGGTGTTTTGGGTTTATTGGGTTTAAACCCCATAAACACCCAAATTTTTGGGTGTTTATGATTTTGTACTTCATCATCGTCATCTCAGCCGCAAGACGTCCACTATACTGGACATAGACAATATTATTATGCAGCCTACAGAATAAAAAACTTTTAATTTGATTTTGAGTTTATTAAGAAAGAGATGAAAGTAAAATGTAAAACTACAGTCAATCACTGTCAGATTCAGAGTTATTACAAGCGATGAATTGTATAGGTTCGATAGGCTCTATTTCGTCTAAACTGTTATGTTCATTTACTTGCTCAATGAAAGCTTCTAAGGTATTTTCTTCATTAAACTGAATGTCCTCGCATTCAGCTTTATGTTTAAGATTCCAGTTATAACAAATGAATGAAATTTTTTCAGTTCTTTCAGTTGTAAGTCGATTTCTTTTGTTATTATGTATGTAGCCTTGGATACTAAAGGAACGCTCAGTGGCTGCCGAAGTACAGGGAGCTGATAGAATACGAATCGCTACTTTGCTTAACTCAGTGGAACCACAAATACCTTTCCACCATATTAGGGGCTCAGTTTTATTTTCAATGCTATCTAATGAGCTCCATACAAATCCTCTGGCCCAAAAGTTTTCTTTAGCTTTATAACACGCCAAATCTGCCATTACATTTGACAAACTTAAGTGTTGGCTTAAATTGTAGATAAACTCCATACCCTTAAGTTCTTCCTCTTGAGTAAGTTCGACTCCTAGAGTCCTGGGGTCTAGAATATATGCTGCAAAATGTATTGGCCTCATTGCCATATTGCATCTTGAAGATACTGATGTTAGAATCTGCTGTTTGCTTTCTTCGCTCAATGTCGAAATCTCATTTAATGCAAAACGTATCTTAGCTTGTACATCTCTAAATGTAATGTATGTGCGATGCAAACGATTCTGGTCGCTCTCTAAGTAAAATATGCTTTCAGTGACTGGTTCCAAAATACTTATACATTCCCCTGTCTTCGTCCAGAAATCATCACTTAGAATTAAATCTTTAATATCTCTTGAAATTACCACATCTTCTCTAACTGTTAATATTTGCAAAGCTATCTTATTTGCTTTCAAACTTTTTAACGAAGTAACATGACTTCCCCATCTTGTAGCACAAGGCAATTTTAGTGTTTGTGTAGAATCTTCACCCTGCCTTGATTTTATCAACAAGGAACTTAATCGTTGACTCCTTTTAACAGTTTTTATTATATTTATGGCTTGCATAATAAACACAGTTACTTCTTGTATCTTTACAATATCTTGGCACAACAAGTTAAGGATATGTGCACAGCAACCGAGAGGAACAACATGTGGATATTTGAGTTTTGTTAATTCGAATGCCTTTTGTATATTTCTAGCGTTATCGCCAATAAGTACAAGAAACTTATTTGCTCCATACACTTTCATTACTTTTTCAACTTCTTGGCTAAGGTATTCACTAGTGTGAGGATTACTTTCTGTATTCAAACTTTTAACGTATGCAGGTTGAGGTTTTGATATAAGAAAGTTTATTATTCCTTCATTTCTTAAATTAGACCAGCCATCGCACTGAAGGTGTAACCTCTTCGTACAAGCTGCTGTTTTACTACCTTGATAAATTCAGTACTTGCTTTGAAATAACTACAAGCATTTAGTTCCTCATTTAACTCAAAACGCATTTCTCTATATATTTTATCTAAGTATTTTGTCGCTAAAGCTTTACGTGAAGGTATTTTAAATTTTGGTTGCAATTTTTCGAAAAATTGTATCCATAAAGGATGTTGCACCATCGATAATGGCGTCCCTGTTACAAATATAGCTCTCGCTAATTCTGTTTTTATATGATCATCGGTGTCTTGAAACTCAGCATTTATTGTAGTGTTAGCAGACGACGAGGGGCTTATAAAAGAATCATTTGTCTCTATCTCTGACAGTCCAGACATTTTGGTTTTGGACGAGCTATCTTTTATAAGTTTCATAGAGTCTTTTAATGTTTCTGGAGATTTTGGACAAGTGATAAGATGTTGAAGCATTTTGGCAGCATTACTGAATTTGTAGACCTTATTACAAAGCTTGCAAGAAACAGACTTGTTTGGTAAAGTACGGTAGTGCTCCCATATGCGTAAATCTTTAGGTGGGCAATCTGCCCGCTTATCGTATCAATCAAATTAAACCTTTTTCAAATGTTGTCTCCCCATTGAACCTAAAAAAATGAACGATGATTAGTTGGTCTGACGAAAATTCAACAATAGAGTGCCTATTTTTTTACAATGATTATTTCTTGTTATTTACAATAAATTTATTAAAAAAATAATAAAATAAATACAAAAAACCTTTGTAAAATTACATCTCCTCGGAGGATTAAACGCAGACGCTAGTTTATTATCGTATTGTTCTGTATTTTTCTCAGCAACTTCTTTAATTCGATTAGGTACTTACGCATATTATGTTAAAAATAAATATCTAGTACACATCTTAGGCTATCCACCATTATTATCCAATGACGACTCTCAGCTAACTATGCACTATCATCCAAAATAAACGTGTATGGAAAATTTTATCCCAGTCGGTTGAGGATTGAGGATAATTGCATCAACATACGAACATACCTACATACTTTTATTTACATAACGCAAGCTAAATAAAAGCTTGTAATAATACATTACATACTAATTTTAAGTTAAAATTGTTAAGTGATCATGATATAATTGTATCATTCAAAAATCCACTTACCTTTAATTATTTCTTGTTAAGTATAAATATTATTTCAAATCTGCTCCCTTAATATGCACTTTTTTACTGCTTTTCCTACCTAACACGTTACCAGGAAGTCACGTTACCAGAGTCAGAGTAATAGTGAACACGTTTGACAGTGATTGTCGTCGCCTCATATTCAGCGTCGACGAATAGGGGAATCCCCAGTCATAATGTATTGCATGCGTGGCGGTCTTACTTCAAATCCATAAACAAAGAGATAATTACAGAACTCGATACTAGATGGCGCTGTTTTTGTTTGAAGAAAGTTTGCGGGCTAAAATACATAGAATTTCATCAATGACTTCCACAAAGAACAACATTTCTGTTTTTTCTAAGTCCGTATCTCTTCCGTATATTTCATAAGATATAAGCTTGGGCTACATTGTTATGCAACGTGATTTTGTCGCTGTCTTGCTAGCAGGGTTGACAGATATACGATTTAAATCGTACTCATACTATTATTTGTCTATTTTTTAATGTACGATCGTAAAGATTATGATCGTAATTCGCACAAAAACATACGACTTTTTGGTTACCTGGCAACATTTTTATTATGAAACGAACATGCTCACATCATCAGTCACATGCAACAATTTATTGGGGATTTCCCCTTCACATCTGGCAGTCCTGCTTGCTAGAATATAGGTAAGTCAGCCACAGTTACTGACGATCGATATTTAAAGGGTATTGTTTTTGTGCTAAATATTTCATAAAAACGTTATTTAATACTTTGTGGATTATTAATTTAGTTGATAATCACTGGAAGTAAAATGGATGCTAATTTGAGAGATCAAGATCTTCGTATAAAACAGTTAATAAAAGAAAATCTACGTAAGTACTCTTTTTATACCTAGGTAGGTAAGGTATAATAAACACAAAAGGTACTTAGATCGCGTGTGTTCGAAGCATTTATTCTAATAAATTTAATTTAAAATTGTAGAAAGAAAAAAATGTCTGCCAAGCCGTAGCCGAAGCCGATCTCCAAATATATTTGGCGATAGTGAGACCCAGTGTCCAGATGATTTACCCAGCGTCGTCGCAACAAAGAAAAAAACGAGGATAAAGTAAAAGAAAATTTACTGAAAGAAGAAACAAACTGTTCTAAATGCTTAATTTATGGAGAAGAGGATAAAAGAAATGAGTATTTCGGACTGTTAGTGGCTCAAGAATTTAAATATATACGGCCATGTGTGCGAACGAGGTGTTATGAAGAAATTTTAAAGTATCTACGGGAAGCAAAAGGCCAACATGTTGATCAACTGCAACATGAAAACACTGAAAATTAATTACTTTCATTTTATTATATATAGATTTTTAAAATTTCCTGAAATATTATTAGTTAACGTTTTATTTAATATTGTAGAATTGATCAATACAATTTATAAAAATAATTTATTGGTATTACTTACATATTTTCAAAAAAATACGTAAAAACCTATTTTTTTGGGTGATTATGGGAGTTTATGGGTGTTTATTGGGTTTTTACCAAAGCACCGGGTTTAAACCCGGTGCTTTGCCCATCTGTAGTGCCCCTCGAGTGTTACAAGAAATTAATAATATCAATGATTGCCATATTTCTGTCAGTACCGTTCGGAACGTATTACGTAGTAACGATTATCATGGAAGAACTGCGCGTAAAAAGTATTGGGTAAATGATATTAATAGAAAAAAAGATTAGAATTCGCAAAAAAATATATTAATGAAAAAATCATTTTTGGCAAACTGTTATTTACTCAGATGAATCGAAATATAATATTTTCAAATCGGATGGGCATCATATGGTATGGAGAAAACCTAATATGGAATATACGAAAGAAAATTTATGTCCAACGGTAAAACACGGTGGTGGGTCAGTATTTGTATGGGGTTGCATGAGTGTTTTTGGGGTGGGAAAACTTGCATTTATTGATGGAATTAGGGATCACAAAGCGTATATTAATATTTTAAAAGAGAATCGTCTCTCTAGTGCAGCTCAAATGGGTTTTAACAATAATTGGATATTTTTACAAGATAATGACCCTAAACATAAAGCATGGAGTACTAAAGCATGGATCCTGTTTAACGCTCCAAAATACCTAGAGATTCCTCCTCAATCACCTGATATTAATATTATAGAGCATGTGTGGGATTATCTCGATAATAAAATTCGAAATCGACCAATTTCGAGTAAAGAAACACTAAAAATTGCGCTTCGCGAAGAATGGGCATTGATACCGTTTTCTTATATTTTCAAACTAGTTGATTCGATGCCGCAGAGACTCCAAGCTATCATCAATGCTAACGGTGGTCCAACAAAGTATTAATATTTTTTTAATATTCATTTACTTACAAATTTTATAAGTGTACGAATACTTTTTGTTTGTCATTATTTGCTTAGTTAACGTAAAAATATTTTTATGTTGTATAATTTATTTTATTAAAAAACAAAAATTATCATAAACAAAGTGCGGGAATGTTAAAATATTTAATAGTATTGATTTAAATTAGATAAATAAAAGAAAGTCTATCAAATTCGTATTTTTTTTATTACAACCTTAGGTGTACGAATACTTTCTACACTCACTGTATATATTGTTTGGCGCTGAACGCATTATGGCAACGGCTGCAATATTTATGATATTCGAACTAGATAGCACCATATTAATATGTCATGGGCTATTTAAAGTGGTAACCTTTTATAATCTACCTTCACAGGGCACAACAACAACAGGGTACTTACAATTTTCACGATTATTATTGTGGAAAACAAAATTATTTTTCCACGATGAACCTTTTTAACTGCTATACTATAGCGGAATATAGTGCTTAGTGTGAATTGTATAAAAATATACACACATTCACGGCAATAATAGTATGTATAGAAAACTTAACTACGTCGTTGGCGATATTAATTTCAGAAACTGAATTCCATACAGACTTATCGAAGTAAGTAAACGGTAATATAACGTAAATTTTGTATAACTCTCACAAGACAATTGGATTTTCACTCAAAATTTACCACTAATGGAGATTTGGAACACTTTCATTGGAGAGAATCAAGAAATCAAAGAAGTCTTTAACCAATAAAACTTTTATTAATATCCAGAACTTACAAATATTATTCCTGTGTCTATACTTAATTTACCTAATGATTTATTTCATAACAATATGTACAACTAAATCACAGAAAAAGATTTTGTGTAGATAAGAAATTCACAAAAGTTTAAAAACAGGAATATCAGTTCTAACGTCTGTAAATATTGGAACACGCAAATCAAATTTACCATATTATAAACAAGTAGATACATGTAAAATGGGTAGATACCTAAAAATAAAAGACTGTTAACTAGGCGTTTATAATAGTTTAATTATTTATTAATACCTACATTTATAATCATGCGCCTGTTTCTATGTAGGTAGATAGGTACTTGAACATTAAGATCCCATACACACGTCTCGGTTCGCTCTATCGATCTGGTAATATTTTTTACGTAAAAAAAAAGTGTATTTACACTAAGAGCGGAACGAGACCAACATTACAGTGGGGATCTGACCTAACAGTAATTTACCTACATATTTGTTTTAAATGTTATATTCACATAGAATTACTGCCTGAAAAAAATAGGGTCAGATCAGAGCAAGTTTAGGTACACAAAATATTATGTACATACCTACCTATTTGTAACACATGTACATAATTTATATGTATTACTCAACATCACAAACTTTATAATCTCTTCTTGATGAATCAATTTTAAGATGAAGAGATTAAAAGAATAATAATAGGTATAAAGATAATTAAAAAACAGATCGACTGATCAATAAACAGACAAAATCGTACTAGATCTAGAAACGTGAGACTTGCACACTGGTTTTTCATGTAACAAGTGATATTCACCACCCCAACCTACTTCGGTAGCTTGTAACGGAGTACCACGATCATGGCTCGTCGCACATCGTTTTTCAGCGATTACTAGGAATCTTATTTAATTTCTATCCCTTATTGTAAATAAAAAATAAAATTCCAATATTCCTCCAGGAACGAGAAATAGGATCGTACGAATGAAGTAAACCGGTTACCAAAGCTTACCAAAAAGACGGTGAGAAAGGGCGTGGTTAATGTTACAGGGAAAAAGAAATTGAGCTGGCCCACTACATACCCATATACCCTCGTACGTCTGTTACTTCACACGAGCGCCAAGCACCAATGAAAAGTGCGTTTTACAGAAAAAATAATTACACTCAAATTACAAGATTTCCTTTATTACAAGTTACAATTTTCAGCGTCAAATTTGTTGACTTTTAAAATAAAAAGTGACGATATTTAGTTTTATCCTCCGAGGACATCCAAAATTGATTCCAAATTATAACTTGCAACAGACTATATAGTTATAATAATAATCATTATTTTAAATAATTTTCTTAATTGAGTCAAAAAGACGAAAGTATTGAAATAACATTATGATATTAATTAACCGATAGACTCCTATTAAGTTTGACTTAAAGCTTTTAAAACAATTTTTACTATAGCAATAAATATATGACGGTACAAAACACAAGTTATTTAATTCATCAACGAATCATTATTCTACTAGATTCTATCAAAAATACGCTTATGGCCATTGACTTAATCGAAATAGAATAAACAATACAATCATTCATAAAACAAAATAGTGAAGCCAATATATACTCTTAAAAATTAAAAATGTGAGTAAATTGATTTGAATTCCAATTAGGTACTCCTGCTGTGTACTCTACAGTATCTCCAAATCACAGTGCCGAATTTGTGGAAACTTTTTCTGTAAAATTAAAAATATATAGTTTTATAACTACTTAAATAATGTACAAACCACTTAATTTGTTTTAATAAAACTCACCCTGAGTTTTAATTCTATTCTATCAATTTCTCCGCCTAACATATCGACAATATTTTCACCATGTTTCAGTAAAAATGCTTCTACGTCATCAATTGTATCAATTTTTTTCATGTCCTGAAAACAAATACAGCTTGTAAAACAAATGTTTTCCCTTTTATCTGAAAAATAAAACAGAACACGACAACAATTGCTTGCTGAGGTCAGTTCATTTCAAATCTGATAAAATTAAGTGCGTCCGTGCATGCTTGTGTGTGTGTGTGTGTGCGTGTGCGCGCGTGTGTGTGTGTGTGTGTGTGTGTGTGTGTGTGTGTGTGTGTGTGTGTGTGTGTGTGTGTGTGTGTGTGTGTGTGTGTGTGTGTGTGTGTGCGCGCGCGCGTGTGTGCGTATGTGTGTGTGTGTGTGTGTGTGCGCGCGCGTGTGTGTGTGTGCGCGTGTGTGTGTGCGCGTGTGTGTGTGCGCGCGTATGTGTGCGCGTACGTGATGTGTGCACTCATCTATATACTTAATGGTAAAACTTATAAATTTCTTACCTCCAACAGCACATTCAGCTCATGTTTTTCTAAATATGACCGTGTGAGTGCTCTGCCATCAAAGTCAACTTCAGCCTAAAAATAGTTATAGTTTTTAATAAATCACAATGCAGTACGAAATACGATGTAATGCATAAATTATACATATTAATAGTCTACTTTCATACCTTATATCTAATGAGGTTACTGCCTATATCTATACCCTTGACGTCATGTATGGCTCTAATCATAAAGTCTCTTTCCAGTACGCTATTTATTTCATCAAGTTGCTCTTGTGGAATTGATCTAAAAAAAAGTCAGTAACATATTGCCTTAATTCAAGTAAGCTTCTTAATATTTTTATGAATTATAAATATGATTCTAAAATTTTGTGTGTATCATTTTTAGTAAAGTTTTATCAATAAAGAATAATTTGTACCATTGGAGCATTAAATCTTTGTGCCAAATACATTCTATTCTATTCAGCCATTAACACAGGACTATCTGTGTCTCTCCGTTATGAGTAAACATAAATATGAAAAATATAAATCTAAATATTCGTCAGAATATATCTATCCATTCCTATTAAATGAGAGTTTTACCTGCCCACAAGCGCATTTACATTGCTAAGAATTATAAATGACGCTACTCCAGCTAGCACAGTGCCAACTAAAAGACTGCCGATAGCATCTGGCAATGGATTGCCAGTATATTGCGATATGGCCATACATGTGGCGGCGAGGACCACGCCGGCTACAGCTGCTGTATCTTCCAACAGTACGACATTCACTGACGGATCTGAACTGCGCATAACTGAAAGCACATATATTCTGTTATCTTACGGCGTGTAGATATTACTTTCCTCTCAAATCAATTGCGAATTCTAGAAAATTCAGTACATTTAATCATCCTGTTGTACACAAATAATTAAAAATATATATATAATAAAAAAAATTTACATATATATAATTTACTTATAATTTTAGTGATGACTCAAACATCACACGGTTTTTTTAAAGAAATATAGCTTTGTTACTCACTGATCATATAGTTTCATATAGGTGATAGATTTTTTTAAATCGTTATGTATATTTTGAGTTATCCATTACAAACAAAAAATCAAATCATTCCTCTTAATAATATTCATTTAGATGTACTCAATATAATTCTCAAGAGGTACAGAATAACAGGGTGATAATGGAGAAGAAGATAAGAGAGATGACTATTACTACCCTCTATTAGAAAGGTCCAAAGTCCGTTTATCATTTCTAGTAGTATAAAATATTATATGCAATAATCCACGAGAATAAAGAGTGTATTTCATATATATTACTATTATTGAAAATGGGTCATTTTACCATACTCGTGCAAGGGCACATTTGCTTCTTTTGCGCCTTTTCTTATGGCACTTAATGCTACCATTAAAGTCGCTCCTTCTGATACAACAGCACCGCCAAGGACAAAATATGCCTGCAAAAACGAAAAAAAAAAGTATAAGAAAATTAACGCAATTTATTTTACGCAACTTAGAATGGTAAACCATCTGACAGTCCTCCTGATGGTAGGTAGTAACCATCGCCTTTAGATATGTACAGTACCATGGGAATAATAGAGTATGGTATACTGGGTCACTCATGATACCCTTCATGGGCTGCCATCCCTGTACTTTTATTAGCCATACCACATCCTTCAAAGCGAAAGCACCATGCAATTACAACAGCTTCACAGCAGAAATACGAATGGGATAGAGGTATCCAAGCAGACGACTTTTATACAAAATCTCCTTCTGGTATGGAATTATTAAACCAGTTAAGTTTGTACATGACTGTAGTTTATAAATGATAATAATATATAAAAAAAATCTACTTGTTGGGACTGGTCTGCTCTGGTCACTGTAACCTATTTATTTTATTGATTTGTTTTAATTATATACTATATATTTTAAATGTTATGATTTGAAACTGCTTAGTAGTTTGTATTTACACAAATTCATTATTTATATAATTAAAAAAAGCAAAAGCTGAGTTTCTTGTCCATTTTTTTGGCTAAAATTGCGTTCTGAGTGAAAAAATTACAATAAAAAAATGCTTAAATCTAAGTTTACTCGAATAAAAACATTTCTTCTTTCTAGTACACTTTTACAGATAAAATTTTTATAATTTTTTAAATTTGTAACAACAACACATAGGCCTTCATTATATAAAGAGCTACTTTCTTTTATTGTAATTAATTCGAAACCGTTATAAATGTAACTTGTATGGGAATGTGAGCCTCGAGTTTTCATATTACAGATTTATAATTACTTAAAATTAATAAACATAATAATATGTCATTTAATATATTATTATATCTTACCCAATAAAAATCGTGAAGTGGTTGTGGATCCAGTATGCCCATAAAACCATGATAAAATGACAGTCCACTCCCTACACAGAATATGCCTACACCAGAAATCAAAGATGATACATATCTCATATTTGTATAGCCATATGGATGATCTGGATTAGCCATCTGTAAATTAATTTGAAGTTAATAAAAGCAAGTTTAATAATACAACTTTATTATTTTAAACCATAAAATAAAATAAACCCGCTAAGATTGTTATTCGACTCAAACAAATATTATAATCTATCTAAAACTAAGTTGACAAAATAAGCAATTCACCAGCAGGTATATATGTAGTTCATGATATCAAATTTAACTTAATTAATATTAAATTTCTCAACTGAAATTCTGTTTTATAAAATTCTATAAAAACTAAAACGTAGCTAAAACCCCTTAAATTATGCATTACAGCAATACCTCGTACTTACATAATAAGACTGAACGATAACCGCACAAGTCGAATTCACGTAAGTCAGAGTATAATCGTTAACGCCTTTCTGTGAGTTTCCTGGCTCCTAGTTATGCGTTCATTTCGCGGGACACGTTCGGACTTACACATTAGCTTAATAATAGTGTAAATAATAAATAAAATGTAAATAGATTTGTGTGACATTCAAACAATAAAATCGACAAGATTTGAAGATCGCGTATTTCCAGGTTCGCGTAAGTCGGCGTAGCGTACGTCGAGGTATTACTGTATTTTTACTAATATATTAAGCGGATTAACTACCAATCGCTATGAATTTTTAATGACAGTTACTTACTTGAATAGATTTATGTATACCATATGCTAGAATTAGCTGATTTACAGTGTCTGCAAGAGAGTGGATACATTCCGAAAATAAACTATGAGATCCAGTATATAACCAGGCACAAAATTTGAATAAAAAATTACACCCGTTTCTGAAAAAATACATATAAAATATAGTTTTTATATACCACTGAAATGGCAAACAAGCATAGGGCTCACTTGATGGTAAGCGGTTACCGTAGCCTACTAACTCCTGCAATGCCAGGGTTATTACGCGCATGTTTTATGTGAAAAAATATTCTATTGTGGATTCAATAGAATATTATTTAATCAATTTATGAAAATATCATATATAAATTGTTTCAAAATTGCAATTTAACACATGAGTCTGTGGGATACTAAATCATTAATCAGAGAATAAAAGGAACATAGGCCTACTCAATATACTAATAAAAATTACATATAATAAAAAATCTTTCAATTTCTTGACTTCATAATATAAGACATATGCAAGTATTAATAACTTCATCTTATTACATAAAAAGTACATTATTAAATTATAAATAACTAGATAATGGATCTAATAATTCACTTCCTTACTTTTTTCTTCTACATAAATATACGTAATGTAACTATTACATATATTAAAGAACTTACATTGCAATAGCAGTAAGAACTACTCGACCTGATCTAGTTTTTAAACCCATTTCTTCCACTTCCGGCTTTAGACGATTATGGCCCATTTCTCTTCTGTAGTCTCTTAGCCTTCTTTTCACGGTAAAAACATCTGCAGAAAGAATAAAGTTAAAAAGGAATTGATATAAAAAATTAAATAAAGGAGATGTTTCATTTTGGGCCCAGTAAATGTAGTATCACAAAAAGGTCTTGTCAGACACCATACATTCAATAACAGTAATAAATCTGAAGTGACTTTTTTCTGCTTTACTCTAATTTCATATCAACATGTAAATTATTGCTTAAAAGAAAATAAGGCACATATAGTATATTAAATGAAAGCAGCACAATCCCAAAATCCAATTATTTGATATTTTGCAATTTCCTATTCCATTGCTCCAGAAAAATGCAATCAAAATAATATTTATGCACCATTATTTTTACTTAGTATTGGAATAGTTAAATTTTGGATTTATTTGTGCCAGAAGTCAACAAAAATTAAGAGAAGATATATTACAGCATACATTCGACTGGACCCAATTTTTATATAATTTTGAAACATCACCTTCCTAAATACCCCTAAAATCACCTTGTTCATATCTCCGCCTGTCCAATTCTCTTCTCAATAGTTCTTTTTCTAAGGCTTCTTTTGATCCCCATACCTAAAGACAATATCATTTTGATTACATAACAACAAATTAACAATTTCTATTTGCTTTTTACTAATGCCACTATAATGTTATTATAGAAAAACTTTTCATCAAAAATGATTACCTCAATTGCTTTAGCTTCCACATCTTTTCTATAATATACAGTTATTGGCGGCTCTGATTCATATGGTGATCTTCTTAACACTTTTGGAAGTGTTTCTAAATCAGTTTGTTTCAAAAGGCATTCAGTCATGGCCCGCATTGGTGTAATAAAGTTACGCTCGGTATATGAAGCAGAGAAATCTATTAATAATCTTTTCTTAACTGTAATAGATATAATAATTAATATAACCAATTAAAAAAAGGAGAATATTTTTCAAATTTATTACTGAAGTAATAAAAATATTAATTTACCTGAAAGTCACTCTATAAATAAAATTAAGACAAATGAAGAGAAATTAACTTTATTAATATTATAAGTGTGAGTATTTCATAAATAAGTTTTAATTTTTACACTAATTCCTACATGTCTGCACACATTTGAATAAAATTTTATACCCAGAAATATCATAATTATCTGCATCAAAACACATGATATAATTTATCTTGATTTATTTATTTATTTAACTTTTATGTACAAAAAAAAGTATACATTTGAATGAAGCTATATACAACTAGTAAACCATAAATGAAGAGCAATACTTTTATGATTATACCTACTTTTTAGGCAGTAGTGGGAGTTCCACCTGATGAATAGTGATTATTGCTGGCAACTTGAGCAGCCAAACTTTTCTTATAGTTTTGTATCTGATATTCCTTTTATATATACATTCTATTTGCACATAGAAGATATTGGTGGGTAAACATTGATATATCAACTGGCATTTATAAAATAATTGTTGATTTTTTTTCTAAGTGACACCTCTGTTTCTATGTCTCAAAAAATATTTTTTACCGATTATATAATATCATTAAAAATACTTTACTGCCACAGTAGTAACTGTTGCACATCATCATCATTTCAGCTATTATCTGTCTACTGCAGAGCATAGGCCTCCCCCATAAACTGCCATAAAGAATGGCCCTGAACCACCTGTATCCACTGACTCCCTGCAAGGCATTTAAAGTTGTCGCTCCATCTAGTGGGGTTCATTCATCAACCTACACTGCCCTTATGGGATCACCACTAAGAACCTTTCTTCTCCATCAATTGTCAATTCTTTAAGCTATGTAACCAGCCCATTGCCACTTCAGCTTGCTTATCATTTGGGCTATGTTGGTGACTTTGGTTCTTTTATGGATACCCTAATTTTAGATTCAGTCAAAGAACATCCAAACATAACCCTTGCCATCACTTGCCAAGTAGTTTGAAGCATTTGCATAAAGGTAACCATGTAGAACCATATTTCAATTCCAGAGGTCATCACTAGCAACATGCACTGATTAAAGTGAAGTAAGTACTTTTATACATTGTTAAATAATAAAGTGGACTAAAGTAGGTAGACTTAATATAAACATGACAAACTGATTCAAGTACACAGCATGTTTTATTTTGGAATATATTTAAGACTTTCAATATATGGAGATTTTTTTATTGATATTTAATGGAATGGCAAACCTACCTATATTATCAGTATATGCTGGTGAGGCACTAGTGAGAGATAACAGGAAAGAATGGAAACAGATCAGTTGGCTCATCATGACAAATACTTAAAGAATAATCATAGTAGTTTCCAGAGGAACCATATGGAAATCAACCTAATAAGGTATATTGCTAACAATAGGACGGCTAGTCTAAATTACTATCAATCCCTTTCCTCCCCACACCATTTCAAAGACAGCACACTATACACTAACTCCCATGACATCATTATCATGAGTGATCATTTTGAAGAATAAAATGAGAAAAAATAAACATACCTGGCGGAGCAGTATTTTGTTTAGGAACAGAACTGGTTGGTGCCTTCTCAATAGTCACTTTTGTAACTACCTTATCTTCATCAGTTTCAGTTTTCACTACTATATCCCCAGTAGTACTCTGTGTAATAATGCTTTTCGATGTCGATTCTGCATTTGCCAATGACTGTTTCTTTAAGTCATTTTCGTCTTTTGGAGTACTTTTGTCGTGAACAATACTGGTCGTATTGATAAATCTCCATGATTTTTTATTTATACCACAATACGTCTCATACTTTAGTACTTTAGGAAACCTATACGATATCGCATGCAGGTGTCTCAATTGAATGGATCGTCTACTTAATTTTCTATAAATATTTTTAACAAATAATGAAGGTAACATGATTATTCTTAATCCTTTGAAAACCAAACGCGCTCAAATTCGATTCTCTTTTTCGTACAGTTATCAAAACATATTTGCATATGTGTATGAGATTTATATCCTATTACATATCATATGATATTAAACAATTGGAAATTGTACTTTGTATAATAAACTATTAAATAATTATATTCAATTGTATTTAGCAGATGTACTTAACAAATCACAGAACAAAACAGATGTCTAATCTTTTTTTTTTTATACAACTAGTAACGATGCGCGTATTTAGTAATACGATTACTAATTGAGCGATTGAGCAATTAATTCGAACTATTCGATTGTATACGAAAATCATTTAAATACTAATTTTATTCTCTATACTGTTTTAACTAGTTGCTAAAATAAAGTTATTCATGTATGATGAGTCGGCATTACAAACGTAGCTGAGTCAAGCTGATCTGATCGGTTCGACGAGATAACGATTAATCGATACAATTGATTCATCAATTCATACTAGTTATTATATCCATTAATTAATCTCAATTCATTATAAGTAAAGCCGCTGAATAAAGCCAGGAGACTAGGTAATAACTACTTATTGTATCAACTAAATACTATACCATTTTAACTATGTTATAAGAAAAGAAATATATGAATTTATTATATAGGTAATATTAAGTAGATATAGGTATTTAAAACAAATGTTTTTGGTTTCATTATTATTCATGTAGATCGAAGTAATATTTAGTATAATTAATTGATACAAAATAATTTATATTACTAAATTATTAGTAAAATTATAACTTTAGTAATTATATGATTAATAATAATAATTAGTACGAAAATAACGAAATCATTTGAATTCATGCACCAGTATAAATTAGTGATGTAAGATCGATAATAATAATCAATCAACTTGACTCAATAACAGAGTATAGTATTTATCAAAGATACTCGTACACATAGATTTAGGGAAAAAGCAGCCCTACTAATTACCTAGATCGTTGATATAATATTAATTTAATACCACGTGACACACATATTACTCACACAAGTAGTACTGATATATTTTCAACAACGTAAGTTAAAACTATTTACCCAAACTGCTCACTGTAAAAGACAAAAATTATCTATTTTGCATAATTATAAGCAAAAATGATAAAAGTGTTTATTTGAATAAGCATTTATTTATAATATTATACATGTACATTGTATAATACATTATTTCATTTAAATGATTTACTTTATCACAATTTTAATTACTCTGCCTTCCACATAAATAGAAAATATATACAGTCACCTCAGATTGTTTAGAACTCAGTAAAACAAACAATTTCACCAAACGTTTTTTTTGTATAACTCTAACGGTTTATGCAGTGCAAGCTGAAATAGCTCTAAGATGATAGGATATCTGTCCTTTTTAACAATTTATAATTATATTTCGTCTAATTTACGCATTATCTTTGTTCATATAGCCCATATGCTATTCTGATGTATAAGTTATGTTATTGTAAAGTTTCATTTAAATCCGTCCAGTCGTTTTTGCATGAAAAATAACAAATATTCATTCATCCTTACAAAATTTCGTATTTATAATAATTGGATTATCTTTGCAAAAATAAACTTAAGAAATTAATTGAAAAAGTATTTGAATCTGATATTCTTGTTTCATATCTTGAAACAGTGTACAGAAATTATAATCAACTAGCTGTAGTCGTAGTCGTATATCGTAGTCATATCTTGATTTTTGAATAGCTTATAATTTTTCTCAAGAAATGAACGATATTAAATGAAACAATAATTTTTAAAATCCGCCTGGTTGTTCCAGAAATTCGCGTGTTCAAACAAACAAAATGTTACCATTTATAAATTAGACACTCTTCTTAATTACTTTTCTTGCGCAAAAGACCAGACTTTGTACAAAAGTCGATTGCTTGGGTACCTCTGTCCCATTCGTGTTTCAACCGTGAAGCAGTTATGTTTGCATGGCTGTGTTTCGGTTTAAAGGGTGGGATATGGCGTGACTGTACAGAGGAATAACATCTGAGTCCTCAAGAATGGCAACGCATGGGGGGTATCATGGGCGAAACAATTATTATGTCCATGGTACTGCTCATGTCTATAGGCAAAACTTTCCATCAAGCTTGTTTGCCATTCTAAGTTGTATAAAATAAAATATAAAATCTGAGAAAGACATGGAGTTGCTTTTAAGAAGCTTGGAGACTGTAAGCCTCTCCTTCGGACTCGAAATTAATAGAACCAAAACCAAAATGATGATCACGGACAGAGCTGAAGACAACAGACCAAATATCGGCAACTGTGAAGTTGTTACGAGTTACGTATACCTTGGTTCCACGATCACAAATACTGGAGGGTGTGAGGACGAAATAAGAAAGAGATGTGCTTACACAAAAACAGCTGTAAGTAAACTGCATAAAATCTGGAAGAACCGCAACATCACAAAGAACACCAAAATGCATGTAATGAGGAGTTTGGTTTTTCCAATTTTCCTGTATGGTATAAAAACTTAGATGATCAGGCAACAAGAACGCCGAAAAATTGATGCTCTAGGGATGTGGTGCTGGCGACGACTACTGCAAATATCTTGGACTGCCTTTCGAACTAACGTTTCTATTCTGAACGAACTGAAAATCAGAGAGAGCCATATCATATCATCCGGAATGAAGATTATATGGAAGTCTAATTGTCCAAGGAGCGGTACAAGGCAAACGTTCTCGGGGTAGATGAACAACGCGATGGACTGACCTCATCAAAACGATCACATCGCAGTGTATTATGGAATGCTCTCGCTCGGCTGTGAACAGAAGTAACTGGAGACATATTGCGAGGACATATCACGGAAGAAGGGCCTCATCGACGTTCCACTATCATTGTAAAAACCAAGACCAATCTGTCAAGAGTGTACGACTGAAAAGAGAGAGAGAGAGATATGTTAAAATTGATTTTGATTGATATAACAATCGTTTACGCTTATCACTAAACTTTATATTTTTTTTATTGGCATGTTGTTTTGTGGCTCTGGATACAAAGTATACGTTCTAACATTACCAGATTAAGTTTTCTTACTTAAATTTTGGGTGAAAATTTGTCTCCCGAAGAAATAGAATAGTTTAAGGAATTTTAAGAAAAAATGAAATTACAGTGTTGAATTTTGGTTTATTTATTGGAAAGTTTTGTTATTTTGCAAACCGTATATATAATTATATAATGCAGCGTTCCTCTTGTAGTATGATGCTGTTAATAATGTAAGTTCAAAGAGGCATTGTTTTGCATTTTTCGTTAGGCGTTTGTAACAATGATAACTGATAAATATAATGAAAATGGTCGAATATTTGTGAATATAAGTTAAATTTATTTAAATTTTGAGGAAAAATAAAACATTGCTTCTGGCAATACCGACTTATTCACATCAAAAATTCTTGATTTCGTTAAAGTTATAGTCATTCATTCGATTTTTCATCCTTACCTGTTTTTATTGTGCAAGACAATTTTATTATAATTTTGTACATCTTAGACTAGGTAGTTTATTCAGTAAATTCCTTTCTATCTTCTCTATTGTGAAAAATTGTTCTACAAAGACCAGCATCACCAAACTTAACCAAATATCTATGAACATAACAATACTTTGAAAAATAAGTAGAAACTGTAACCAAGGACCAGCAGCTTGTTTCAAGAAATTCCAAATATTATATTTCGTAAAATACAAAATGCCGGCAAGCAACATCGATTTGTACCACATGCAAGATGCTAGAAATAATTTTGATGCCACGCGGCCTGCTCCGATTTGTCCTGATGCCAATCAATATATGGGCCAATGTCAGAATGTTCACATATCAACAAACTGTTATTACGGATACCATGGGACGAAAAGTATGGAATGTCAAGTAATAAGCGACTGCGAAATGACGGAAGCACCACATATTAATAACTTAGCGTCACAGCCGCCTAACGCCAGGAAGCGGAGTGCTGATGATGGTGAATATCCACGAAACAAACGCCCTCGCCAAGGTAAGGTTCCTTTCAAATTTGATTTTGGAATCTCATTAAATAATTATTGCCTTTACAAATTTTATATTTATATTTCTTTTATATTATAGCAATTTTTTTTATTAACCCAGCCATAATATTATAATAATTTAATTCAATGAGGTTCCAGAATGTTTATAATATTTAAATTATAAAGTTTGTATATTATTTAAGCAATGCAGCAGGAATATTGTGTAGTCACTATTTTAAGTGGGAAGTCTCATTGCAATATACCAAGTAGGTGGTCCTACCATTTGTGATATATTTTAGAGAGTTTTGTTGCAGTTTCAATGTATTTTTAAGTACCTATTTGTACCTATTATCCTAGATATAATTTGAATAGCGATATTAACTTTGTGAATGCACTTGATACCCCTGTTGCATTGGTAGAGGATACACAATGAGGTTGCATATTTATTTTAATATTTTTTAGCAATTAATCTATTAAAAAACAGTGTAATTAATATTAGTATGTGTTGCAGTGATATAGTAATCAGTGATGTAAACTGGAATAATCAAGTAGTTTCTCTTTATTTATATAATCATTCTAATAAACACAAGTTGGAAAAGGTCTTGACATGTAATAAAATGTAGTAAAATCTATTTGTGCAAAGTACAAATTCAATCATATATAATTGTATATGTATAATCTATGGGCATAATTTAATTTTCTACTTGTACCATTATATGTTAATAAGAACTTTTACAATTTTGTATATCATGATAAGGATACTTTTATTATCATGATATAATAGGAAAACAAAGTTTGAGAAAATTTATCTTCCTATATTTTAAAAGTCTGATATTATAGTTATTGATAATTAATTGCATCTTCATACAATTGCTTTTCTATTTTAATTGTGATGATACAATCTATTAAACTATTGATCATTCTTTCATTCAACTTTGGTTCTGGAAATTATTTAAAAAAAGTAAGAGGCTTTTTAATCTGGTGGTAATTATTATGGTCAAAATTAAAGCTTGTTCTCCAGTGTTAATAACAATAATATTATATTATTTTTATTCAATTGTTATCTTTTAATAGTATTTTTATAATGTTATTGTAATGTTATATAATTAAAAATTTTATTATTGTTCCACAGTCAATCTATTATGAACTTTTTTACCCAAAAAATTTAGAAATGTGTTTAACAATTTTTTTAATAAGTGTATAATTGTTAAAATACAAGGGACTAATTTTAGTCCTTTAACTTGATACATAATATATTTAGAAGTATAATAAAAAAAACTGATGAAATTTTTTTGTATAAGTATTGTACATGTTATACCAGTCATATTAACCTTTAACTTACAAATTTATTCCTTTTTTAAACTTAATTAAATAGAATATTTTCATTTCTGGTGTGCCATATTCTGAAATAAAATTATATAATAATTAAGTTGAGATGGAGTATTCAAAGCATTTGTCGATTTAGTACTTTTATATTTTGAGTGACAATAAAAAAAGACAATTTTGTATGTAATTGTTTTGTAATTTTTAATTTTATTATTTTTCTACTGCTTAATGATTGAGAGATAAGAACTAAACTTTATAAAGCATTAGTTATTATTATTTATTAAATGTTTATGTTAACTAATGTCTCAGATAACAGTCTGTTTCAATAGAAAATGTAAACAAACTGAATAATTGAATGGACCATAGACAGTCTACTGATGTATAATCATAAATATATTTAAAGGGGAGGCCACCTCACACCAAAATTATCTAGAATGCAAACATAACTTTAACAAATAAATGTTTTAAAGTATATTTACGCCCTTTCTGAGAGCCCCCATTCTGGAATACAATCATTACATAATGAATATGTCAATGTGTCTAATAGTAGTACAAATAACAATTGATTAATCAACTGTTTGTTCTTCCGTAGTAGTCATAGTAGTTTTAGCTGTGCATTGATAGTAAAGGCAAACAATTTTCTAAGTAGAGATTATAAAAATGTAAAAGTATAAAATGTAAAGTGTAAATCAATCATTGCAAATCACTCATGAAAAAAACACAATGATGAAACGATTTCAATTACGATGCTGGCATAGATATTTTACTATCTTGATATGAGTAGAACACTGCCGTAGATAGTTGCGGCAGTCAAAATTGAAATATGAAGAACAAGTTCTATCCTGCCGTTCCTAAATAAATGATTGTAAAGTCTTTTTAAATTGCAATTAAAAATGAATTTATTTTGCTAGAATGTAGACAATTTTCAGGTACAAATATATGTAAACATGAAAATATTGTAATTGTATATAAAATAGACTTGCAACGAATAGTACATTTGGACATTCGCCGGATACCGATTATTCAGCAAACTTCCAGCCGAATATTAGGCAAAATGTGGGTATTAGCAACCAGAAAAGATGCTAAAGTTAAATGAGTTAAGGCCGCCTGAAAATCAGCGCTTTATAGCTGCATCTCGCTAGAGGTATGCATATATAGCAATAGCCGAGGCGGCTCCTATATCAGCAACATGTTTTGTTTTTTTTTTTATTGTTAAATGTAATTATTGTTTTCATTGTTGTTGGTAATAAATGATGTATCTATATATCTATCAAAAGTATTCGGCTGACGCGTGGTGTAAAACTTTTTCTCTCGTTTATTCAAATGTGTTTACCTTATTTTCCACGCCGCGTTGCCTCTCGCGCTCAGTAGCATAAAAATACCCTTTCTGGACCATAATCTCCAACTTCGAAATTTTAATTACGATAATTTAATTGTACAGACATTTATTTCGTAGTTACTTTTTTAATTTTTGTAATACCAAATTTGATTAACTAATTTAAGAACTATATAGTCTACAATAAAACATATCAATTAAGTATTCGGTATCCAACCGAATAACGAATAATTTAATATTCGTTGCAAGTCTTATAAAATGAAAAATATATAAGTTGGTTATATTTTTCAATTTGACTTAAAAATTATATTTTTAAAAATATATACAGAAAGAGGACAGCATAATGTATGATATAACAAATACCTACTTATTAAAATGTAAACTGGAAGTGTGAAGACTTCTTTCATATTAGATACTTATTGCTCCTTGTAAAAAGGCTTTGAGAATCGGTGCCCAGCCCATGCACGCAGATATTGAATAACTACTCCTAGCCGATCTTTGGTTGTGTTTATCAGCTTTGTATTTCATTGCATGAACTAAAACCTCATCTCTCACTTTTTCGATTTCATACCTACTGCTCAACTCACTTTGCGCTGTCCCCTTGGAAACTATCGTAGTTAATTTCTGGTGAGTTCGTCACGATGCTAGTGTATAATGATAGTGCAGGAAGGGTGGTTATTCCATCATCAATTAAAAAAAACATTTTCAATACTTTAAAGTAGCTATAGACATTGTATCTTTTAATTTCAATCGACTTTTTTATAATAATATTCAATATTTTATTTCTTGCAAGTGCCAGATTTTTTTACAACAGACAATCACAGAGCCTACTGTATTGAGATGTTGTTACAGTGTTTACACAGTATAGAAATGTATATTTTAATATTGTAATTATACATTTAAATTTTTACAAATATAGTGATGTCAGTCATCGTCATAATCGTTAAAAGCCGTATCACATTATAGGATATAGTTAGAACCGTTTTTTGAAGCCATGGATGCATTTGAATACCATTATAAAGATTTAAAATATCTAATATAGTTTAGTTTATTAATAGCCCAGATCCAGATAGATATTTGGGTGATTTTCAACAGGCGTGATCCCTGTCCAGCTTCGGTGAACTCTTAACAGCAGTTTCTAGACTTCCCTAAAATGAAAAGATGTCCCTGAAATATAGAGGGAAGCATTTTATAAAATGCTTTTTTAGGACTCAAAACAAAGTTGCTGAAAACCACCATTTTACACCGTATTGTACCCACGAAGATATCGCACATAAGTAAATTAAAAAATCCTCATTTTAAAGTTTGTGAAAAACAACGAATAGACAGGACTTCTTTTTAATAGTACTATGTTACTAACAATGTTTCAACAATCAACCGACCTTAGGTCAGTATCGGTGTTATTGCACATTCACACGTTGACGATTTTATTTTTGTACTGGCTGATAAACTGCTATGTATTTCCACGCTGACGAATCATGAACAATTACGAATACGTCCAAAAATATGAACACGTCAGGACTAATCGTCACGGCTTGTACTAAATCAGTATTCGGTTCATATTATGTAAATTTTTTCATGATTAATGTTTCGTTATTGTATGTGTATTTGTGAATGGGCTATAAATCCTTTAAAGGGAGGAAGGAATTGTTAATAAGGGGACTAGTATTTCCATTACTAGCAATATACCCAATTAGGTCGTCCTCCACATGGTTTCTCCTGGAAATCATCGTGGATAATTATTGTCAAATTCGTTATGGTGGGCCCACTGCTTTTATACTCACCATCCTTCCTTGATGTCCCGCCATCATGTACCGATAGCGCAGGACTTACTTCGCTATTGGAATTATCATTCCATTATCATCCATTAAAAAAAGCTGTCAACCCTTGTGACCTCAAAATCTTCATTGTATGTTAATATCTATCCAGAATATCACTGTCATATCTTATTCGTTCCATCATCATTCAAACCAAATTAGTCCGTAAACAAGCTGCTTTATAAGAGAAATCACTAAGCGAAACAGACAGCAGAAATTTCCATGCAGACAATTTTAGGTTCTTTTACTGGTATCTACAATATTTTATATAAATAAAATTAAAAATGGCATCAATACGAGTACGTATGTATCAAGAAAGATTTTTAGGTCGCGTAATATACTTGCGTGTTATGTAATTTATAAATAATATATGCAAGTATATATGTAAACTATCCCGATAAATAAAAACTAATGTCTAATAATAAATATATTTTAGTTATTTTTTTTCTTTTGTGCTAAATTCTTAATTTGAAAGATTGCCATAAAACATTTTGATAGTTAAAATAGGTTTGTAGGTCTTAGTTTTTGTTAATAAGATAATAAGTGTATACGGATATATAACTATATTGTTATTACTAGCTTTCCTTCTGACTTGCGTGGAATTTGGCTCAGTAGTTTTTGCATCATACAAACTAACATACGGACAAACAGAAATTAAAAAAAAAAAAATAATTGTTGTCTTCTATTTTTCTTATTAAGATTCTTTATATCAAGTTTCCTAAAATATCTCCTATGTATGTACAAAAACATCCTTTAGTTACAATTTTAATGTCTTCAATTCAAATGTGAAATATAGATTTCAAACTTACATATTAAAATACATCATGTTCTCCCTTAATATAGTCTAGCTTTGGATTACGTAGTCCATAATCGATTACTAATGGTCGAAATATGACTAATTGAAGATGCATTAATTAGTGAATAGATGAGGGATAAGATGTTAAGAGCTTCAGGTGCATATAGATATTCATATAGAGGTGTAATATATGTGTATTTTATATATATTTTTTGTATACTCCTATTTTTCTTAAAATACTATTGTATAATATTATTGACATATCACTATACTCGTATCTGACTAGCGTTTAGAATAAAATATGATAATACGATGGATTTTGAGAAAACGTAAAAAGTCGAATTTAGTTCTGATTAGCTAATATTACTAACAAGTTCTTTGTTTTAATTCGATACTCCCTACTAAACATTTTTTAATGTTAACCGAGTAATTATCATATTCGCCTTCTGTTTCTTATATATCATATATTCAGGACTTCGTTTTGTGTTATCTTTTCAAATCATTGGTCTGAATTTAATTATAAAAATATTCGTAGTTTAGTAAATAGGCTGTTCCACCCTATTGAAAGATGTTTTAATAAAACTGTTTAATCCCTTACTGAACACTGCAATATCAAGCTGATAAATACCATATTCGTTGTCTGTTTGTAATGTAATATCGTGTTCAAGACTTCGTTTCCTTTTATCTCTTCAGGTCATTGGTCCAAATTAGATAAATTTAATAATAATGTATAAGCTGCTCTATAGTGACAGGTGATTATAAAATTCTATAATTCTCTATTGAATATTCTGCTAAATAAAGTTGCTAATTATGTTATTCGCATTCTATTCTATTTGTTATATAAGCATCTTACTGGATACTTTGTAATATTTAACTGACACTATCGTTTGTTATAACTAGCTGACCCGGCAAACGTTGTTTTGCCGCTTGTCGGGTTTATTTTTTTTCATATAAAGATTTAAGATAAAAAATATCTTAAGTATCTTAATCTCTTAAGTTAGAGCAAACAAGACACATTTACAAAATTTCATTAAAATCGGTTAGCGGTTTCTGAAACACAATGTTCGAGATTTCGTTTTGCGTTATCTTTTCAGGTCATTAGCTTAGGTGGAACAGAAAAGTGTTATGTAGGTAGGAATTTGATGTTTATATAAGTATATGGTATGTATCTAAGCTATTTTAGCGCGATACCAACAACAGCTATCTCTCGCCCCACTGTGTAGAGGACAATAACATTTTCGTATAAGTCCTTTTCTAGCAGAGTATAAAACTTACTAATAAATTTATGTCTTTATAAAAGTTCAAAACTATATACTTAACACAACAAGATAATCATGAATACTTATAATATGATGATAAAAAATTATAATAATCAATCATGATAATAAATTTATCACCTATATTTATTGAAACCACAAATTATCTTAGATATTTTGTTATTAATTAAAAATATTGTTCACAAATATTGAATGTAGTAATATGTCAATAGTCAATTTTGTTTTAATATACAACTGTTATTTTTTGCCATTAGGACTGTATCATTATTTTCACTACTTTTATGAATCTGCTTAGGATTATGTCCTAGCTTCTCCCTTGTTGGTTTTCATTTAGATTATGTCCATTTAAATATTTATTTTCTATTTTCTTATGTAGTAAATTTCCTATTCTACTTATATTTCGAAAATTCACATATAAACCCAACGATAATGAATGAAACAAACGACGGATAGATACTAATATTATTCTAGGAAAAGTATTTTATTTTTCTTGTTGGTTCCACCAATCTTGGTATTTATGATTTGAAATTATTGTTTCATTTTTTAAGAATAAGAATACGTTATAAAAAGCTGCATATTATTCTCAACTAAATAAACTGAGTATTAAATAATACTTTAGACGCGAGTAAAATTTGATAATGATTTAATAAAAGTTCATAATCAAGTGAAAAAATGAGTACATACTCCTATTAGCAAAAAACAGTTTAGACGATGTAATTATTCTTAGGCAATTATAATTTATTATAAACTATTGTAAAAACAGCAACAAAACTTAGATCGAGGCTTTCCACTGTGACGCTTGAAGCACAGTGTGATGAAGTTCGACTTTATTTCAGAGGGTATGGTGCCACCGACTTCAAACTGCAATCCATGTTTACTACGCCCAACTCACAACAACCCAGATATATCTCGTTGTCTCATGGTCCATATGATCTAATCTCTGCTAAACTAAACAATGGTCTTACATAAATCTAATTAAGGAATGTCCATTTTATCTGCAGAAGTACAAAGAGAGAAACAGAGACCTGAGAAAGACACGAAAAATGATAAGAAAACAGATACAGAAGACCTATTGGAGACACTATATTGGAATATTCACGGGGGAAATATTTATCATTTATGGCAGTGCCTATGACGTGTTATGTAGAAGTTTGAAGTGTGATTATCGCAGATAAACAAGTAATAGGGACATTAAATTGAAAAGACTTAATCATTTTATTTTTGTGAATAAGTTTTTCTTTTATAATTGAAAGGTTTCCAAATAAAATTTTATATAGGAGAAGGGAGGATTTTTATTTATATAAAATACTTTTATATATTTTATATTTATTGATATTAAATAAATATTACACAATGAAAATATGTTATGGAAACAATGGCAAAGATTACTAAACAATAATAGGATACAATATTAGATAACGATCAAGATTCAGTAGCCGTTACAGGATTTCATCAAACTTCTCAACTCTTAATCTGAAAAAAGAAGAAATTAATTAATTCGTATTTATTTCGTTTTTCTGTTACAGATGCTGATGAAGATCTAATCACATTTTTCTTTCAGGCTTCACTCAAACTAGAATTAAACTTTAAGGTTTGAGTGTTTGCTCTATGTTTTCAAAACACTAATATCACCTTTTTGTTTTTCAGATGATTCTTCCATATGCAGTCTTGTTGGCACACGGTCAAGCCCGAGCCATTCTGCTTCCGCCTTAAATGTAAACATACCAGAAATTTATGTGTTGTTAAACTATAAATTTTTGTTAAGTTAGTATTAATATGTAAATTCCATAACCAAAGAAATCATGTAACAGATCTGTGATATTATATACCTGATATTAGAATAAAATAAAATTAAAATGATAAGTTTTTTTTTTATTGGAATCCAGTTACAATGGTTTTACGAAAAAAAACCTCGTATTATATATTATAGAAATTAATTGAAAATGCAGTTCATCTGTTTTTTTATTTTTATTAGAATATCACAAGATTACAAAAGATGCAGTGTTAAATACACAGAGATCTCAGAAAATATGAATTTTAATTAAGATCATAAATATTACAAAAACTGCAATTACATCAGTCAAAAGCCCAAGCCAATATATTAAGAGTATATGAATCAAAAGTGGTATAGTATTATGTATTGCGGTTAGTACAATTAATAAGTGGAAGACATCTACAGTAGAGGACTTGTTGCATTACCTCTGTCGGAGTTACTTCTTCGGTGTCGACTACGTCGGGTAACGCCTCTGCATTCGCTTCCATTTCGTCTTGGCCATTGCTACCATTGTCTACTACCTCAGAGTGACAAGTTTGGTCCGCTTCCGCTAAATCTCCATTATTCATTTCAGAGCAATTTATGAGATCCACTTTTCCCTCTTGACTAGAACGGGGACTATTATCATTCAAGTCTGTACCGTCTATGTCCATATGAACATGACCTGGCCACATATCATAGGGACAAGAATTAATCTGGTGTAATTGAGTATCACTTGAGCTGAACAAGTTTAGTGACCCTGCTACGTCTTGTAAAATGGAAGGCTCAGATCTGCCTCCAGAATGCTGCGAGGGTTCATCTCCGTCATTGTTACTAGGAAACAACAGTGGCAAGTTTTCCATAATCTGATATATATCACTTGATATGTTGCAAAGACGCATACCTTCGTATTTAGAAAGAATTTCAAAGAGCCTTTTCTTTGATTGTTGCGTATACCGACTGTCTCCAGATAAAATATGCGACGCCAATGATTCGAGTAGTTCAGTCGTGCATATTTCTTCACTTTTAAGCAACAAAAAGCGTGCAACCTTGTTGTCTAGTTGCATTGTGCTTGTGCATACATTTTGTGTCGGCATCGAGTTACACTCATGGTAATTACTTGGCTCTGTGGTAGTAGTCACTTCTTCTGGTCTAGTCTCATGGTGAGAGTTCTCGTTGCTATGATTATCAATAATAGAACTATACTGAGACAACACATTGCGGATCGACTGAAGAACTTTTTGTCGTAATGGATCTGAACTAATGAGTTGAAGTTCTCTAAACAATTGTATTAGGAAATCTGGATGAGATTCGTTTACTCCGATTAAAGCTGTAACTTCTGAATATACATTTTCCCTGAGGAGATCGAAGAGTTTAGACGTTGCCTTGTCATGCACTTCACGACTTGTAGACGCCAAATTTGGGTTTGGTGTTTCGGAAGTGCTGGCAATATTAATGTTACTTGTCTGAGAATAATCCAAGGTATAATTCCGTCTGTTTGTTGAATTTTTAGCTGGTAATTTTGAAGAAGACTTCTTTTTGCTATTTGTTGTTGTATTTAAATTATTGGAATGCGCTTGGATTATTTCAGGTATTGGGCTTGTTATATTCAAGCTTCTAAATGGGTTTGATGTAGATTCCTGCCGGTTTATATTAACATTGACGGAATTATTACCTTCGTCAACATTTCTGGATTGTGGAGTGGAACTTGCGTCAGCATCAATGTTTTGATTGACATTTAGTACGTCTGGTGCAGACGAAAATGACAGAGATCTTTCATATGCCATATTTCTACGTACGTGACGATTAGGGATGTCTTCGTTATTTGCTTGTAGAGACTGTGTGGGAGCATTTTGCGTGGAGGCGCTAGTGTTCGTATTTCTCTTGGGTGTGATAGACGGAGATGTGGATGAAGATGTGTGATGCAGCGTATTATGTGATCGTTCCACTAGTGGGTGTGGATTGTGAGCAGGACCTACAGCTAAGTGCCCATCGGCATTGGTCTTGCTATTAGCAGACAGAAGATTTTGACGCGAATAACTGTAAAAGAGTACAATAAACTAATTACAGTTAGCTGAGCTAAGGTATTGATAAAAATATATTTAAAATAAACGTGTTAAATCAAAAAATTAAGAAACAAAAACAGTTATAATTGTTAATAATAAAAACAGTTGAATGCCTATTCACAATAACCATAATTGCGTTTACGTTAGTACTGAAGCAATATTATGTAATACAATAGTTTTTAAAACAGCAGGAAGTCGCAAAAAAAATGCTAACGTGAATAATACTAAAGTATTATGAAGCTGAAAAACGAGATCAAGGGCAAAAAAAGCATAATTTCTCACCCTTACATTTTATCTTTGATCTTGTTATAAAATTATATTAATTATAATATAATACATATATTTGTAAATTAATATTAAATAATAGTTATTTATGATTTTTAATATCTGAAAAAAGAAATAATTTTTCATATACTATAAATAGTAATTGGCTAAAAATGAAGTAAATATTACTAGTAAATGGGTAGTAAACTATACATACCTTCGAAAGTTATCCCAATAATTGTTAGCACGGTTTCCAGGTGGTACTTGATTGTTAAGTGTATGCGAGACTGTTTCAGCACGCCATCGCTCTTCCAACTAAAAAATAATATGTAACATGTAATACTGCTGTTATTATAAATGAAATTTTGTCACTTCAAGGTGACGGCTGATCATATTTGAATCCAATATGATATACAAATAGATCATATCTTGCGTTAATTAGATGAGATGCTCTTATAAATGCTAGTTATAAAACTATAATCGGATTGTAATTTTATTGTTATGGATTAAAGTAGGTTCAAACTATAACAAACATTATAGAAAAAAAAACATACTAAAACAGTTAGCTAATTTTGAAAGGAAATTTTCCCCAATATATACAAATATAACATATAAACATTTTTTTTTTATATTAAACTACCTATGGCAAACATGTTAACAACCCATCTAATTGAAAATAAGCGTGCAAGCCGTGAAACCATCTCTTATACATACGGATAGTACCATGAACATCACGAAAGATACTGACACCCACAACTGATTAATACTTTGCCATTTCTGAGAATTATGGTATTATGCCGCCGTACCTCGTAATTTCATTGCTATATTCCATCATTCAAACTAAAACACTAGTACTCATTAAAAAAAACTTCATATATTGAGTCATTAAGTACTCGAATTAGATTTATTTGGCATATCACTAGTATAAAGTCATCATAATATAGGAATTATTGTTCACTCACATGATTGAGTTGTTCTCTAAGCTGATGAATCTCTCGCTGCTGCATGACAAGCTGTTGCCAGCACCACGCGCCCCAAAAACCACAACCGCATCCACAACCACCCACCATACCTGTTAGATGAATAATTTTCAATATTTAATTGCTTATATTAAAAAATGCTCTGATAGCAAAAATTGGCTTTTTTAAAATTACTTATAATGGGGCTGGCCTCCTATATAGGTACTATATAAGAATATTTTTAAGGGGAGATCTTTCATAAATTTTTCATATCAGACATATAACAGAGCACTTTTTGAATAATTAAAAAATTTACTGATAAATATGACGTTTTCACACTTTGGTAAGGTCTGGTTCATTTGTACTTATCTATATAGACTAAACTATTGACTTAAGGATATAAATACAACGCCTAGAATAAAACTATTGGAACTGAAATTCTGAAATATTCAATGGATTCATTGAATGGTTTATTATTCATTTACATCTCAAAAAATATTTAAGATTTCCATAGAAACCAAATTCAATTAAACATTATTATAATTTTAAAGAGATTTTGAATTTGTGCACAAGAGTTGCTAAATAATTGATTTGCTTACCATATGGCATCATCATGTTGAATGGCATGGATGGAGGATAGGACATTTGTGGTGTTCCAAGCAAACGATCCATAGTTTGTGAGTGGCTGTTCTGTGTAAATTGGTTTGTTCGCATATCCTATAACAAAAATTACATATATTATTAAAAACTGTTATTTCAATGAAACAATGTCAATTGTACTCATTGTGTCCTCCATGGATTCTAAGGGTTAACCCTTTGCACTCCGTTGTCGCCGTATTTGCGACATTAAAATGCTAACATTAAGTTCACTGTAGCAGCTATGTAATTTTTTTAATGCTAATTAGCTTAATAAAGATGACCACAAAAAAGTTGGTAATATTTTTTACTTAATAAACTTACCTGATTTGATTTCGAGCTGTTCCAACATGGAGGTGGTAGGTGAGGATATGGCATGTTTGCAGGATTGTCCACTGTAAAATACATGAAATTAATAATGGAATAATATAAACAAAATTTTTGTTTTCTTTATATAAAATATTATTTGAATTATATATGTATTAGATCATTATTTAAATATGAACATGTATATTATTGTGTGTGTATATATTTGTACATACATTATTAATTCTTGTTACATATTTTGTTGTTATGTAACAGTTTTTAGGGTTCCCCTAAAAAGAAATAAAGGACTCAACATCCTATAAATAATCAATGAAATAAAGACAATATTTCTTATCTGTGTGTTTTCTGATCGAATAATTAAAAATTTTAATAATATAATAAAATTGCAACTTGGCGATATCTGTATATAGAAAAATTGAAAAAAAAAAAAAAAAAAAAACAAACTGATGTGAGGGGTTTGAATATGAGCAAATATGTTAGAACCCCAAAAAATATTTTTTGGAAATTTTATATCTGTCTACCTGTCTGCATGCAAAAACTTCTGTATGAAATTGTATGCGGTTTTCACAGGCATATTCCTTGATACATCATCAAGAAGTGTTATATTTGATTGATTTTGCTACTTCTGAAACTCATGCATAGGATGTAGCGAACAAAAAGCTAATGCACAAATATTTCATTATACTCACGATTTTGAGCGACTGGAGGCACCATATTAACGTTTGAAACTTCAGCCCTTGTTTCGTGTCGTAAGTTTTGATTTGAATTATTGGACTGCGTACCCTGAAAAAAAATGTAGAATATAATAGGTCTTCAGTTTTTGTAAAAAGACACGTTGTCAGAATAAATACTATTTGCTGTTAAATAAAATTAATATTACTATATTTATTAAGTTGCTTAGAAGGAAAATAAAAAGTAGGGAAGCAAATTGTAATTTTAAGTGTCAATCTTAAACATCTAGCTGACTACACTAAAATTTATGAGATGGACACATATATTTGCTTATTATAGACACTAGTTGAAATGTAACTTTTTTTTCATAAATTTTATAGATTTAAAGTGCTATTGAATAAAAAAATTAAAACTGATCCTAAGTTTTAGCTTCTTTTAGCTTGTTTTATGATTACTTCCAATGTTTCGTGTCTAGGAAAAGTACTGCAACTTACATTATCGTCAGACTGTCGGTCTTGCGGTTGTCTTCTTCTCGTACGGTTCCGTTGGTTGGATTTATTTCTCGATGCACTATAACAAGCATATGGTGATAATGTTAATTTAAAATATCACTTGTTAATGGAAACTAAGGTATCAATATGGAGTTAAAACGCAATTTCAATAAGGTATGAGTTTGTAAACCAATAATAAACTTAAAATTATTATTATTTACCTATCACTGTCACTGCCGTAGGTACTGCCCAAATGCGAAGGCAATGTGTTCACAGATCTTCCACCCACTGCGTTATCACCGCTGCCACCCTGTGAACACGCCTATTTATGATTAGTTTTAGTCTTGGAAATTACAGTTTACCACCAGACCACTTTACACAACACCTCAAGTCCAGTTGTGCCTACTTGGACCAACGCTATGCTATTTATCTAATGCTACACAAATTTAAAAGGATGATAGATTATAATTACGTCAATTAATGGGTGATGCTAGTTATTATATAACACTAATAATTATTTATTGTACAAAAAAAGTTGTACAAATAGCGAGTTTAATACATTCTCTACCAAATAACCATGTACTCAAGAATATTTGACTGTAATGTAATTAGTATACTTACTCTATAGTTCTCATTTTCTCTTGAATTCTGCGAATCTAATAGTATCTGTTCGGATCGTGAGTCGGGGTCTTCTTGTTCACTACAACATATAAAATTAAATAAAGAATATAATTTGTCAATTTTAAAATAAAAATACTACTATGCTAAGTTATTCAAAAAATAATAAAACATACCTATTATAAGACTGATTTACTATTGAAGCGGTCCTCGAATCTGGCTTTAGTTTCTGGCATTCAGATGACAATACCTTCTGGAAAAAAAAATATAAATTCTTTACTAATGTTAATGCTATTAAGACTAGATAAAACCGATCACTTAGGTGTCTACATAGGCAATCCTTTTCTGTGTATTTTTAGTACCTGTTTGTCTTATTTGGCCATCTGGCCTTACGAGAAAGTTTTGTCACCAATAAATTATTACGGAGTTAAATGCAGATAATAATATATCTCTAATAGAATCTCTGTTAAAAGAGTCTAGTGCCTTAATGTTAATGACGGTAGTTATACAATATCGAAATAAAAAAACTAATAGACATGAATATAGATATCCGACTTGTATGTGCGGTTTCGAAATAAATAATTACTATTTTTCCGCCATTAATGTCGAGAAGAACTCGATATATAGATATCGGTGCGGTATCGATATTACTCATGCCTTCGACATAATAATGTACACTCTGATATTTATAGCCATAGGCAACGGTTCCATTAGCTAACTGTTAGCTTCTATACCATTTAAAGAGTGAGTAGCATTGGTTTGCTTTAAATCGAAGCTTAAATGTGATAATGTTCCTGGTTAAGACTCACCTCCTTGTTGAGCAGCGCCTCCAGCTCGCGTTGCTTGTCGGCGAGTAGCACGCGCAGCTGCAGCTGGCGCCGCTCAGCAGGACCCGGCGCACCGCCGCCGCCGCCGCTTGCGCCGTTTACCACGTTCCCACCGCTCGCGCCGCTCGGACCCGCCACCGCTTCTTCGTTCACTTTCTTATGCTTGCGGGACACTTCTACGGGAAAATATCACATGTTGCGGATAGTGGTCAGCTATAAAAACTCTTGTGTGCAAAAGCTTATTTTTTCTACCGATTGTTCAAAAATTGTAGTATCTTTTGGCTTTATGTCTTCAACTAATATACGTCCATGATCCTACTGTGACTTTAAAAACAAATTACCTATGGCTAATAATTAGGGGAAAGGGATTGTTAGTAATGCAGACTGAGAATCCCATTGCTAGCAATATACCCAACCAGGTCGACCTCCTCGCGGTTCTCCCTGAAAACTATCGTGGTTAATTCCTGATGAATTCATCATGATGGGCTAACTGGCCTGTTTTCATTCTCATCTATCACCCTTCACTGGCGCTCCGCCAGCGTATCCCGTTAGCGCAGGCGGGATTACCATACCATTTTCACCCATAAAAAAAGGCTGATAATTTGTTAGGTACGAGTATATTCTAATGAAGAGTAGCAGTGCCTATATTAAGATATGGCGTCTTTTAAATTGAAATATTAATGATAAGAATATTTTCATACCTTTATTAGATATCATGTCCTTGATACGCGCTCTCTCGCCTATGATTTTTTTAGTTTCCATTCTCAACTCTTGAGCTAATTCTTGAAGTGATGCTATGTTAGCTTCGTGGCCTAAAACTGTAGTATATTATTTAAAAAATAAATAAATACAATAAATGTTGTGACATCGTCAGAGGTAGTCTACATATTTACCAAGTATAATACTAAGTGCTAAGACCCTTGTTTTAGAGCAGACAAAAGTTTTGAAGAGTAGTAGAGACATTTCTAGTTACGAAGAATTAAATAATAAATTAAAACAGTTTTAAGAATCATTAAAGCCAGAAAGTTAAAAAAAATGGCAGTATTACGTTCTCCAGGAAACTATAGTTATTATTTATGAATAATAACGGTAGTTGCCTGTGAACTGCTATTTTATATATGATTCATGTAAATAAATAAAAACAACCCACTTTGCTGTGGTTGCTGTTGATGCTGGTGTTGCTGTTGCGAGTGTTGCTCGTTGGTGAACTTGTGCCGTTGCTGCAGTGAGTTGCGAACACGGCACATGCTCCCATCATTAGACCAACCACCCATGCTGCCTCCTCCCTCGGATTTACTAAAAACAAAACATCAGTTGGTTGTAAATTTTATAAAGAAAATTGTGACGTCAGTAACAATGCAAAGTCAATGAGAACCTTATGTTGCCGCACGATATCGCACGTTTATGAGATCGATAGTAACACAACCCGGATACTTAATAAAAAACGACGTGGTCTATGGTTTTAGCTGCTGTATAAACAGAGATGGTCGCACCCGCCCTCATGTGCAAGTTCCAAGTGCGGCGAGCTACTTTTTCGAATGACATCGGCTTAAGCCCGGCAGTATATTTATACTTCAATTTTAATTTACTTATACTGAGATAGTAGATAGATGTATTTCGTATCGTGTATTATCATTATTCGTCTCTTATTGTATTTGGTACATAAATACATTTTGTAGGAGGGGAAAGGATTGTTAAAAATGAGACCTAATTACCACAATGCTAGCAATGTATCCTATTAGGTCGGCCTCGCTAGTAATGTAGCTTTCTATAAGCAAAATAATTTTGAAAATCTATTTAGTATTTTGTGCTTATTCACTACAAACATTAAAAAAATGGTTTTTCTTTACAATATTATATTAGTATAGATGAATTATCATTTTTCATAAATACTTTACACTGCACTTACTTGTCGTGTATGTTAGAATGATTGGCAAGTTGAAAGGAATCGTCGTGAGCACTCGATAAATTTTCCGCTTCGTAATTTTCGACAGATCTCATTAGATCTGTAAAAATATAGTAGGATATAGGCAAAAATATTTATATATTATACATGCAACAAATCCTAATGAGTATTATTAAACTTCAAAAAATTACCTTTAGTTTTTTGAAGAGCTGTTTTGATAGCTTTTATTTCCATCAATTTAAATGGATCTTCGTTTTTAATATTATTTCCAGATTTATTGCCTGCAAATACAAATACATATAGTTCTATGAGTATGCATACAGGCATGTGGTTTAGGTAATGTTTTGTACAATATTAACATATCTATTACATTTTACATTACGAGATGGTTCATCATCGCCGCTGTCTTCACCAGAACTTGAATATGTATTGTGAGAGCTTGCTAATCGGGTCGCCATTTGCAACTTTTGGAATTCCGACACCTAAAAATATTAATGCACTTATGTTAAATGAACTTACAATATTTTTCATACATTTTTTATATATAACACGACAGTAATAATCAAGTATGCGACCTTCCATGAATAGCGGTTGCTGTAAGTTTTTTTTTTTCATATATATGTTTGTTATTATGGATGTCTGCACTGCCTGCAACACCAATGCAATCACATACACGTTGTAGAATCCGAAAAAAGGTTTTGATAAGAACTCTATTATGTAGGTACTTCTTTTTATTTTTTGCAACATAGAACAGCAAACAATCTAAAAGCCTTCCCGGTTAAGTATCTTCAATAAACAAAAAATGGCCTCACCAAATTTTCCATATGCTGCTTTTTCATCTGTAATTCCCGTAGTTTCATTTGGAGTAAACGACTTCGTTCATTTAACAGACCCTCGTCGTCCTCCGCCTCACTATCGCGACCACCACCCATTGCTTCCTATTCATACAATGAGAATGATAAATAAAGTGCATTCATGTTCAATTATAAATGTTATAAATAATAGGTACTATGTACTATAATTAAAAATTTTTGACATTTCATGAATAGTATGTACTCCTTAATATATTGCTCCTTAACTTGACTTTTACCTTTTTTATATAAAAATTATAATGTTTTATTTTCCTAAAAAAATGGACCAAGTAGAACAAAATTTACCGGGTCAGCTAGTCTACAAATAAAATTTAATGAACCAGACTCGAATCACATATATTATGGATATATGATACACATGAACAGGCAGATAGATATGGCGATATTGTAGTGTTCGTTTCGGTTTTCTCAATATGGCTCTAAAAGTCCTGTTACAATAAATCAATAAATGGCCTTACCTCACTACTGGCTATTGCTTCACGGTTGGAGAACCTTTCATCTTGGCTGTGTGTAGAGTGAGTGGTATGTCCATGTTCACCATCTATGTTGTTGATCTGGCCGTGGAGTACTTCCGCCGAGTGGGGTAGTGTCGTCGCAACACCTATTTGGTTAGCTGCGTACATGCGGTTTGGATGATGATAGTTGCCACTAAAATTTTGATTCTGGAAATATTTAATTTAAAAATTAAATATCTAAAAAGTTATTTTATATTACCCTAAAACATTATTTAGAATAAATTATACATAAATTTATCACGTCAAGTATTTGCCATACTTGGCAGGCGGATTGGTAATAACAGGCTTTGGTGATGTTTCAAGAGGGACAATGCTCCTTATCCTTTAATCATTAAGTTCCCTTAGTTGCCTGTTACGATACCCACAGGAAAGGAAAGGATGGATTATTCTATACTGGGAACACACGAGCGTGTAACGTAAATAAATTGTAGTAAATCACCTGCAGAACGCTGAAATTTTCATGTGAAGTAGATGGATGTAACTCCTGTGATTGTCTTTCCCTATTCATTTCTTCTAGTTGTTGTTTTGCTTCTTCCTAAAAAATATCATTTCTATTAATATCATAATATAATAAAGTGGAAATTTTATAAAAATAAGTTAGATAACACAGTTTCGTGTATGTTTATAAGAACTTAGAAATTCAAATTGACAAATCTTTGATATTCGTTGAAGTTGTATTCATGAATTTAAAATTATTTTATTAAGTTTTATTATTTTTATTAGTATTATGTCAAGGTAGTGCTTTTTTTTTAATAAAATAGGGCAATAATTATGTATTTTATTTTTGAAATATTTATAAACAGTACTTATTCATTACCTGGCATTTAAGTAGTCTCTTTTGTTGTTGTTTCAGTGCAGCCAATCGGATTTGTGACAATTCCATTTTGCTTTTAATTTCATTTTGCCAGAGTTCATTGTCACTATAAATTGACCCATTACTTTGTACTGATACAGGTCTCGTTACAATATCCTGTTGGACAATTTGATAGTTCAATATGAATGTACTTGATACATATTATAAAACATAGATAGTACCTTAATAAATATCTGAAAATTGTAGAACTTTTATGCATTATTATTTCTATAAATGACATTAAACTCAGGAATAAATACTTATATGTGAGGTTTAGAAAGTAGTTAGTAGTTTTATTAAGGTACTTTAATAGTAATAAATAAGTTAAATATAATTTGTAATATAGAACAATAAATAATACTAAGTATAGAACACGCACTCATCTGAATCAATTGTTAAATATTAAGTTCACACCATAGATTGTTCAATTTTTTTTTTTTTTATATATTATACATGCTAAAGTGATCCATGCTTTCTGCTCACTATAAACCACACGTTTTGTATATTTTAACAAACAAACTATACTTCAAAACAGTTTTATAGAGCAATAAATAAAGAATAAAAATGATAATGGCAATATGACGCGGGTGCATTGATTAGATGATCTTAGTTTTTGTTGGATTTAAGTTGGATGCAAAATGGTGTCACACAATATCTAACAAATATTTCATATGACACGGGAGTTAGTGTCCTTTCTATACCTATTTTTTTTACAATTCGTATATTTAATAAACAATCTAGTCATTCTAAATAAAAAAAAAAAAAATAACTAAAAAGATTTTTGTTGATCAAATCCATTACTGTTGGATTGGATCCATCCATTCCAATAATATTGGTTATATTGTTAAAAGAATATTTTAATATAATCTTTTTATTTTAACTATTCTTTTAAAAATAAGACAGTTAAAAATAAAATATGAGATATGTTAAGATTGTTTACTAATTATGTCAAGTAAAAAAAAAACCTATTATATGTTATTTATTATTCTATAGTTTTGGTTAGAGGTAAAATTAATTACTATTGTAACACAATATGCAACATTGTACTTAGATTTGGAAAGTGGTCCGATGCGATCTAAGCACATAATTTAAGCTAAATACCATGTTATGTTAATGGAGCAACAACATAATCATATTGAAATGTTTATGGATGGTTTTATTAAAAGTATTATATATTATGTTTGAAGTGTAACAGACAGTGCATGCTATGGAATTTTCAACTAATTTACAATAGAGGGATCACTCTTGATTTGGCACACATCAACAGAAAGACACCTGCACATCGTGGTTACTATTAGAACTGTTACAATCTCTACTTTTATTTTTCATTTCCTCAATAAGAGCAACTTTTTCTACACATGAAATTATATTCTTTCTTAATACTTCTTTTAAATGTTGATCTCCTTTATTTGCTTCTGCCTCGGAACATGGAATAGATTCTATCTCTTCTATTTCAAATTTGCTTTTTAAATCATCATTACTTTTTGTTATATCATTATTATTAATGTTTTCTAAATTATTACACTCATTCACTAAACTAATTGGATTTGTTTCAATTTCTGTTATTTCTATAGTAGTTTCATCAACATTATTTATACTATGTAATGTTTTATTCAATTGTTCATTTTCAATGTTTGTAACTTTTTTAAGGTGACTGCTATTTAAAGAATTATCATTGTTATTTTTAGTAGTAGTAGGCACTATGTCTTGGTGTTGGTTTTTTTCACCATTAGTCTCGCATTTTTTCTCAAGAATCACATTTGTGATCTCTGCTTGAGAATCAACATTAATTATCTCTTCAGCTGGAACTTCTATGTTATCAGGTTTTTTTTCCAACAGCATATTTTCTAATTTAGTTTCACTTTCTTTTAAAGTCATCACCATTTGTACTAATTCATCATATTCTTCCTTTGTGTGCTCAATAAAAGCCTAAATTTAAAATATCACATACTTTTAACACAGTATTACATTATTAAGATAAGAGATATATGTTCTTAGAACAAGTATACATATAAATAGATGTGAAGGAACTACTTACCTCATCTTCCGAGTTACGCATTGTATCAACAAGTGATGAAGTAACTCTTATGTATTCTCTAATTTGTCCAAGGCGACGTTCCACCGCCGCTGCATCAGGGCATGCAGCCACTATAGCTTCGCCTAAAGCTCGTGCTGATTCCCTATGAACCTATAACACAATTTTATTTGAAATAAAATTGATATATAATTAATGAAGTGTATTAATAAACTTCAGAAGTTTCAGAAGGGAAAAACTAATTGTTCACATTTTTTATTTTATTATTAAAAATTAGGGTCTACATTACATTATGTTTGAAATCTATTAAATTAACATTTCGTCATATTAATTTTCAAGATAAATTCATCATGTAAAATTATTAAGTAATTTAAACAAAATCGTTTAAAGTAACATTTATATTTTTTCTATATATTTAAACTAGCTAACTCGGCAAACATTCTGTGCTCCCCAATTCTGTCGAATTATAACTTGTACATTTTTCTTATTAAGATAAAAGTATATCCTACATTTCCGAAATTTCATAATTATATGGTTTCAGAGATAAGCATCAACAAACATCATGGCATGGAATTCTTATATATAAAAAATTAATTAATAATTTTTATTTATACAATAATAATAAAATCTACTTAATAATTAAGACAATCATATCATGAATCTTGATAGAATATCAATAATTAATATTTAGATGACATACATGATTAGGCTCATTGAGATTATTAAAACTGCCTTGTCCTTGGTCATACATATTGTTCATAATATTGACAGTTTTGGTTCCTGATCTGGAGTTTGTAATAGGTGGGGTTGTATTATTATTGCTTGTATGACTATTGCCCTCAAAATTATTGCGAGCAGAGTTCAAATTCCTTGACAGATTATTTCTATTTTGATTTGGTGCCTGTAAAGACATAATAACAATTTAAATTAGAAGATATACTATTTTAATATAAAGTTTGGATAATCATGATTATGCTTACATTGAATGGTTGTGACATATTTCCCGTAACTGCATTAGGAGTAGTGGGATTCACAATCATTACAGCAGCAGCAGCATGATTAGTGTGAGGGATGAGACCTAAAAATTAAAAATATTGAACAAATGAATGAATGAATAATATTTATTTCAATAAAATATTAAGTATATCATCATATCTTTTTCAATTAATCACACAATACTTGTTAGAAAATGATTTACATGTTTTATTTTATTTATTTATTCATTAGTACAAATATGTGTACATGGCGGACTTAATGCTGAAAGCATTCTTTCCCAGTCAACCATTTTAATATATTTCTAACAATTTACAATTCATTAGTTGCAAAATGTCTAATCATAAATAAAAAATAATTAATAATCACCATTTTGCATTTGATGAGCATATGGATGCAAGGTGTGACCTGACATAGAGGAACTAGCAACATCATCATTCTGTTCAGATGCTATACCTTCGCGGTTTTGTACATTCAAAGGCAGAGCACGAGGCTGGGGTCTCACTGGTACAAATCTTCCAAATCCACTCTCAAAGGATACAGAGTTATCTAAAAATGTTAAATTATCTAAATTAAAATGAAAAATATATATAATAATTTTATAAGTGAGAAAAACACTACTATTTCCATAAATTGTTTTTTACATTATATGATCTATGCAATGTCAATTGCCAGATCATATAACATTGTTAAGTTTAATCAATGTCACTTGATATAAATAAAGAAAATATGGAGGTAGTTGTATCACTGGTCTTCCTAACTACCACCAATTTATTTTTTTTATTTTAACAACTAAACAACTGACATTAATTGCACATGGAGATAAAAATGTTAATAATTATAAACATACTTTATATACTATGATCTGAACATAAGACTTATTTATACCTTTGATAATGCCTTGATAAGGTGAAACCAATCAGGTCAAATAATATACTTAAATAAAAACTTTTGGAAGTAGTCAGTGTTTTCTCACTTATAAAGATAAACTTCAAATTCCATCAAGTGTCAACAATCTCCAGCATTAACAGAAAAAAATATATTTATACTGTATGACTATAAAACCTGTTTGCAAAATTTAATGATGGAAAATTGTACTGTTAAGAAGAGTACATTTGTAATATTAGTAACATTTGAAGTAAACCAGTAAGTTCTAAGCTAACATCCTCATTCTATGATATGTAAATACATTATTTAATGAGTTTTCTACTAAAACAAATTGTAGTATTACTGAGGATATGATGA